CACGACTTAGCACGATGTACTTTGCACTAACGAGCATTGGTTGCCACCGACAAATAAATTCAAGTTATTTTCTCGAAGATTCGTACTAGAGCGATCATCTAATTCAATAACTCAAACACGAAATGTGCCTCTCTTCTCCCTCGATCTCTTAAATATTTCCCAATAGCAAGTCGTTCTCAAGCAGATGATTAGTATTTCCTTGACCTCCTTTAATCACTCTAACGAACATTTCTGAAAGATATTTCCAATAAAAAGAAGAAAGTACTTCAATTGAAAACAACGGGATGCTTTCTCCTGTGAAAGTTCCACCCTTCATTTTTTTCAAGTATAACTACAATTATAGTTGAAATACCACCGGCTACTCTACGTTGTCAATTAGTTCGTAACCGCCTGTATAACCGTCCGTGTGAAACAACAAATTGCGTGGTTTGCCCTTACGGCAGGGACGGTGATTGCATGAGTTCAGGTACGACATACCTGATCTCTTGTAATAATTGCGGAGATGAATATATTGGCGAAACGGGCAGACCTTTGTGTATCCGTATAAAAGAACACCTAGTTGGCAAACGAAAACTAAGACGAAGCACCCCACTAGGCACGCATAGGATACAAAAGTATAGCGGAGACGAGGTTATACGCGACCTCATCCCGTATGTTCCTATCAATTTCGGATGTGGGATGGTGCAGTCATCAATCACATGCGACTATAATCAGCTGTTCTAAACTTCCTCATTGGAAGTCGCGTAAAAAGCAGAGTTTTTCGAGAAGTTGTTGATCATGTAATTACCAAAGAGTCTTTCGTCTTTGTGTAAGTGTTATTGAAGCGTTTGGCCTAGTAGATTGGATCAGTATACCCTTCCAGGCTCTGAAGAAGGCGATACTGCCGAAACGTCAACTAGTGTTGTATTGTATTGTGTTTCTCTATGGAAGTAAATCTATGCTGTTTAAAAACCTCGCGATTGCTGAACAAGAAAGCGACGCATTCATATTAACACTACTGTAACAGAATCACCCAATTATATTTTTGCAAATGCTAATTCAACCGCTCTTCGAAGGACTTGGCGGCCGATCTAAAAATTGCTGTCGGCGCAATGGAGTTCACTAACAAAGTTGCCAGAGATGTGATGACACGAATCGAAGTTAGCAGTTTTGTTTTACACGAGAATTCGAGAATTTCACCCTAGAATTTGGAAAAGTGTAATATTTTCAGGATGTGTTTATGTTGTCCGAAAATGAAATACTTGACACGACAACGATGACGGAAATCGTACACAGAGGCTACACTCGCATTCCTGTCTACGAAGATGGAGACAGAAACAAGGTATCAATAATGCATTTCGGTTTATATCCGCAAACGGGATGTTCCATTCCAACTGGCATCTAATGCTTGCGGTTCTTTCCTTTTTTGTCAAGATATGACAGAAAAGCAACATTAAATGATAAGAGACGTGAAAGAGTTTTATGACTTTAATGATGCTGAGATATTCGCAAAACTCCGGACCGCAAGTGTCTGCACTGAGGAACGAACACGTTATTGTCCTTTCCGGGGAGTAACGCGTTCACCACCACACTATGCGGGTCCTTCGTTCCGCGTGTCTCTCAGCAAGTTTAGAGTTTTATGACCTTTCTGGAAAGTCTAGTATCAAACAAATGACTGCAAAGCTATCTAATAGTTGACTTCCCTATGTTTTTCTCTTTATGCATGCTCACCTATCACCACTGTAGCAATGATCATCGCAAAACATATTCTTGTGATGTCTTCGGAGAGAAATCGTGGCACCTGTGGTGTCTGCTTAATACTTGAGCCAGGACCGAAAAAGCGATGTTTTTCCTTCCGGAAGATAGACGGAGCCGAATACTGGAATTCTCTGTTGTGCTGAACAATTACTGTACATATGCCTTGGTATTATTGCCAAATTGATTCAACCAAACAGCTGCAAGTTATGGAATAGAACATTTCCAGAAAACCCTTTAGAACAGAATAGCAGCAGGTTTACGTTTTCAAAACTCGGGTGGTAGTAAGCATCGCCTCGTCGATAACAGCAAAAATTGAGGGTATGCGTAATTCTTAGAGCTTAAAGGTGTTGTACCAAGCGATAGGAAGAAGGTAAACGAAAAGACTAGAAAAATCTTGGGCTTAGAGTGCATTGCTCAAATTGAGATTAGGATGTATAGATGCAGCATACATAGATTAGCATACGATGCTCTGCACCTATGAAACAATTAAAAGAACCCACTGCTAAATTAGACTGCGTGGAACGGAATGGAAATGAGCAGTTGTCTCAATCTGTTATAAATATGAGGCCAGTAACTCACAGTTGAGGAAGCCGTTTTCCTTCCGTTGAACTTGTGAGCTTTCCGGTGAAGAGCATTATGATGGAAGTACCGCATCGTCTTCAGCTGACGCTTTTGTCCAACAGATATCTCAGTTATAGCGAAGTTCACCAGAAGATTAAACATCGTGTTCACACATGGTTCTTCCTTCCGCAATGAAAAAGGCGGAGATCATAATGTCTAAGAAGAAAGCCTCCACATTATCGTTGAACTATTGGATTGTGTTAGCAGCGACGTTGATGAAGAAACAAAAGCTTGTCCAGTACCTTTGAAATACTGATGGATTTAAAAGCCATTAAAAAACTGAAGTTCCTGGATTGTAAGTGACGCTTCGTGGTATGTTTAGAGCCATAAACAGCTATCATTACGTCTGAGTCAGTAGAGTACACACAGAATTAATAGCATAAAACCTTTAAAAAAGTGAAGGAACAGCTTGGAATAAAGTTGCAAAGGTTCAAAAGAACATCTGGTGTGCTAACCAGGAGCACCATCTGGCTCGAGATCATCACCGTCTGACGTCTCCACAAAACAGTTCCTACATTTAGAATGTGTATGCAGTAAGTCATCCACGAATCTGACAACTTTGTCTTCCACAATAGCACATCTTTTGACAGCAGTTTTTGGCTTCAAGCTAATCATGTATAGACTATTAACTAAGGATGTTGTCGCACATGTCAAGATACCAGAAATAATGTGAACCAGAAGCCCAATGACTTTCAACGAGAACGGACAGATGAGGTCGGTTAACGATAGCCTCCGGAAAATGTCTTCGATAACGCTGAGAACATTTTATATCGTTTACAGAGTGTTCGAATCATGTAACAATACAGAGGGAATGGTTAAAGAGGTGACGACGGGATCCTGTGAACTTTTCTATCTTCACCACTTCGTTTTTACTCAACTTCGCAATCAAGTTAGGTAGCACGGAAACTTATAGACGCAAATTTACAAAGCGAGATCACTTCGAAGTTATCTCTCTATTGAGTTTTGTTGAGGCTTCAAGAACCCACTCATTTTTCATTACGATCGTCTCTGCGGTGGCACTGCCACCTCTAAGCCTTTCTGTACCACTCAGAATTTAGGCATTCTAATCCTTGCCCTTGTTCTTTCAGAGTGGGGCCTACAGTCTGTTATTAAAAAGTAGAATAAAGGATAAAGCCCTCGGCGTTGATCAATCCTTCAAGGATGCACCATGCATTCGACTTCATTAAGGATCGTCAGAGGCGATTGGATGCATATCTTGCTTATACATTGATCCGCGATAGTCTACCGATATATCGGGCTAGTGTTGCTATCTCTCCAGTCAAGTCTTGGTACCCATTTTCTGACCCCGGAGGAGTGAAGGGGTTAGTGGGCCTTGCGCGCGAGGTCGAGCTAATGTGTATTGCAGAGCGCCTCTAACCACTACTCTAATCGCGCCACCTCCTCTTATATAATGATGAATGTACATATCTATATCTATATATACATGTTCACACATGAAAGAGTGCGTAGTACAGTGATGGTTATTCCGTTTATTACGGGCCCATCCTACTCCGGCGCTGGTTCGATTCCGCATCGAGCCAACCAAGTCTCTCACTTTCTAATGTCTGAAAATTGGCATTAGGCTTCTCTTGGACCAGTTGGTTTGATTTTTGCATGGGATTAAAAGCATGTTGAGAATTCAAGAGAACATTTGATAACCACCTTTTTACTTCTTGGTACTGATATCTCAGCAAAGTTTTAATATACTGACAAGTTTTTTACCATTATTTTTTTATCTTTGGCAAGGAAACAACATAAAACATTTAAGGAGTCCACGAAAATTTCTCGTAAGAATGAATTCATGTGAGCTTATTTAGGTCAAATCCCTCCTACTTGTCAAGGATCTCGCACTCATCGATAAGAAAAACAACATTCCGGTGAAATCAGTGGCAGAATTCAATGAAAGACAACTTCGTATCATCAGGGAAGATATGCCACTTCCCGAACTTCTTGATGAATTCAAAGAGGTCTCTGGAAATTTACCCTTAGTATATCATTCATGCTTGAAAATGAGCGTTTTTAGGGGAATTATCACCTTGCTATGGTTCGACAAGTAAAGCAGGAAACAAATTCTTCTATAGACGATGAGAATTCCATAGAAGTTAATGACGTACGCCAAATAATTAATTTCGGTCCTAATTTGAAGTCTGTACAACACTAATTTTGAAATTTGAACACATTATTGAGGAGGCGACTAAGTGTACTCCACTCTTCAATTTTAAGTGTTCAGCTGTTTTCTAAGAAATGTTTCTGGAAACTAGAATTAGAGCAGCTTTTTTCTTCTGCCTGTTTGAATTTTTTATTTTATTTCCTAGATTTTTTTTAATCTTTAGTGAATGTAATATTTTCACCACGTTCTTCTTTCTTTTGAGGAAAAAGAGTTGTCGGCATCGCAGAATTCAATCATTACCCTCAAATCGCTTCGAATTGCAGATGATTCAGATGATGACGACGTCACCTTAGTCGGCCTGGTAATCCTGTGTAGCATTTTTTAGAAAGTTGACAGGATGCTATCATAAGTTCTAGAATGCTGTGAGAATAATGCGCTGGATGGTAATCTTCAGGTTACATTAGAAGATATCCTGGAAGAAATTCTTCAGTCAGAAATATTAGATGAAAGCGACTCAGTTGTGGACAATGTGCATCGTCGATACAGAAGACGAGCAATCCAGGTATGAGGTATTAATGAGCCTCCAAGAATATGAGCTTCACGGAAGATTCTCAACTTCGTTTTAGATACAGGATGTCTACTGTGGCGAGGGAAGAAGTGATCCTTTATCGCTGAACATGCTCGAAGTCGTTTCAGGATGGCTTGTCGATCGATACACCATTTTCTCAAATCAGTACTTTGAAAAACAAGCACGTGAAAAAATGATTCAAAAGAACATTCGTCACGTCAGTTCCTGTACTACTTCAAAACTTTTATAGGATGTTTATGATATTAACTAGTACATATCAGCATTTATTAAAGCTTCGGTAGGTTATTCTTCTGCCGAGGACGGAAGGAGACAAAACAATTTATTTGTACGAAGCGGGAGTAGCAAGTAAACGATTCATTCTCATCCTCGAAGGCAAAGCTGTTGTTACTTTTCCAAAGGTTTATTTGTTGGGAAAAACACTTTTCTTCTCAAAACTCCTCGTTTTTTAGAGCCAGATGTCATTTGATGTCGGTCCGTGGGCTTCGTTTGGTGAAGTTCTCCTCGAGAAATTTTCAGGTAGTATTCGTGTTCGTCAAGGTGAGTTCCACGAGTTCCACTTGTTTTTTCACGAAGTCCTTGGATTATTACTGCTGCTATGATAAGGTTATGTTCCAAGAAAAGCATCATTCCTTAACAACTAAAGCTCAAACTGAGGAGTGCGAAATGCGTTGGGAGTGGAAAAGTAGTCAATGTACACTCCTCCCGGTCCGTTTCTTTTTGTCACATGGACTTTTTGTATTTAAACGATACCTTGTTTAACATAGATGTTGCATCACACGTGGTGCATAAAAAACCTATTCTCTACACTTACACATTTATAAAAAACTGTTTTACGCGCGAGTTCATTGGTGAGAACAGATCGTTGCTGGTGAAAAGGACATAGAGATAAATTTTGAAATACTGGTGTCTGACACATAAGGACAGTATTTCGTTATAGCGAGATTACAAATCATTGAGGAAATTTCTTCAGAGCGTCCCGGCATTCACAGAATGTAGGTTCATCAAATGCACTTGAGCACAACTTGACTTTTGGAACAGTTGCGAAGGTCCACTACCACGTTTTGTTAACGTTTCAACATTGCGCTCAAGAACGTTCATTTTACATTATGCAGTCTACCATTTACTCACGTATACCATTTATATATGTTATATAAAACTAGCACTGTTTGAAATCACTTTGTAATTCCTACCTACAATCAGAAAATTTCACAGGGAACTCGCATTACTTGTTGCATACATTCAATTCTCCATACTTCTTAGAAAAGCCATAAAGTTTTTATTGTTAATATTGCAAAAGTCTAAACATTAGTGATTCTAGCAACGACTTTCTCTAATGCTCATCTGCTTAGGAAGTCTTACAGTGTATTTTTAATCATGGTGCCTTAATATCCTCCCAACGATTTACCGCCTCACCGTAGCTGGGAGGTGTTCCTAGGTGTCGGGCTGCGATGTACATTGAAGGATGACTGTTTCCAACGTAACGCAAATAGTAGTATGCTGCGTGAGCATGTCCGCGAAGGGTTTTTTTTGGTCATATCTTTCAGTAACGTAGCTCATGGCGAGTTGGAGGAAGGAATCTCGCTTTAAATTGTCACTATGAATGTGCTGTTGTGAAAGAATAAAAGGTAATGAATAAAAGCTAAGACATTACGACTTTGTCTGTAGCATCAGCTTAATTGGGTTAAGTGCAGATTTTTGCTTCAGAGATTATTCCCGTTGGAGAGCGATTGTCGATTGCACCGATGCAGTAAAAAAAAAACCATGTCTGAAAAAAAGACAACGAAAGGGCATCATTGGTTGTTGTGATGGATAGCGGAGTGGTCCCCATAAGGTTGATAGCAGCTTCGAACCCCAGATTGGCGCCCGAGTTTTGCTTATATCTCAGCATCCTTTTAGTTACCTTCCATATAGCACCCTGATGTGATAAAAAGGATTAAGCGGTAAATAAAAGAGTTCAGATACCGCGAAATATAGAGAACCTTTACTGTGCTGGTACAGCTCTCTATAAAATGTATTCTTCTCTGAACTAGGCTGCAAGTTAAGAGAAGACTTGTATACCAAATATCAATGAAGAAATGCCTTTCTCCAGCCACTTATGAATGATTCGCTATCGATACATGGCTCAATTTTCTAAGCATAAGCACCTAAACGGGACAAGTTGAATAACTTGCCCATTTGTACCTATTGGGTGAGGTGAAATACACACCTGTTTCCAATCCTGCCCGCTCTAATAAGATTTTACTGATATCTTCTACAAGTGGTCTAGTCTCTGACTTTTTTTAGGTCACACATTGTGTTTTGAAAAAAGGAAGTTGACAAACAGGCTTCAAATCTATCTCTTATAGAAACAAGGATTACGATGGAACGTAGGACCGGAAGTTCGGTAATCGGCAGACTGTCCAATACTACAATAATCAAGGCATGAATCAATGAATCCCTTTATCTCGTCAACACTTGTTGCTCTCCACAGTGCATCCTTCTGTAGTCCACATGTGTCCATTTCGTGCAAAATCTTCCCCTAAATATAGGCAATAAATAACTTAGCAATGTGTCGGTTGCGTGAACCGAAGCAGGAATTATCGATCCACACGAGATGGATTGCTGTCTAAAATTAAATGGAGTCATACATTGTTAGATCGCTCACCGTTGACTTCGTCACCTGCACCTCACATCCGTCATCTTTCCTCCCTTCACTTCCTTTGCGTTCATGGAATGCAGACGCAGGAGGTTACACGTTGTCCTCCACATCTTCAACTATTTCGTTATCACTTTCGATGAGGAGTCCATTGGTTTACAGTCTGCTCATGTATTTTAACTTTTATACTTTCAGAAAGACAGAGGAAACTTTCTTCCTTGGAAGTTCTACGTTCATTGTGTTCTCAACACCTCGTCTGCTCTGGTCATTGAAAGACTATCCGTAGACATTTAAAAGCTAACGTCTCGAATTGTTTAAGGGATGTAGTTTTCAACTTTTTGCTAGTAATTCTTGTTACATTATTTCCAAATTTATTTCATTATGAGAAATCATAGCTATCGTATGGGTGGTCAGGTCGGAAAATATTCAGATAGGCTCAGTAAAAAGTGGAAGGAACTTCCATTCGGTAACGGAAGTGTGCTTGAATGGTCGCCTTCTACAATATATGTTAAAATAATTTTAATTCATTATTTGCTGCCTACCATTTTTAATTCCAGGAGGTGTTGCGAAATATAACTCGAATAATGTTGAGATATTTGGAAAACTCCAGACCACAGGAGTCTGCCGTGGGGAACGAACGCACTATTACTCTTTCCGGCTGCTGTCGCGCTCACCGCTACACCATGAGGGCCCTTCGTTTCGCCTTTCTCTTACCTAGTTCTACTCCTATTCTTACTATCTTAAAACAGTAAAGTATATGCTTCTAGAGCATATAAAGCAACGTCTCTTCTTGAATTCTGTCACGTTTGAAACCCCACAAGTCTTCTAATTCTCTCTGTGAAAAATCATCGTCTACTATCAAAAAATTACGGACTTGTCACAAAATTGACCGTCGGTGACCGCCGGATGTTATGTGTTGAAAATTCTATGAAAGCGCTGCTTAAAATTAAGTTCGTTAAAGTTTTGAAACTTAAAAACGCCTTCATTTTGCAGAGTATTATAAAGGCACTAGTTTAGAAATGCCGTCAACCTTCCAATTCACACCCGACTTCAATCTGCTTGCCCATGAATCCTGCCGATTTCTACAAGTACGTTTTAAAACGAAATTATCTGTGGCTGAGCGCAGTGATAACCTTTTGATTGTCACCCCACAGTCATTCCACAGACCAGTTTCGCATTTATTGCCTTGAAAAGCTACCGAAAGAGCGGAAATTTGGAGTCGCAGCAAAATCTTGAATAATTATCACTGTAAATTCTACCTATTTTTGAAATTTGACGGTTTGTGCTGCCAACACTCTTCGATTTCAAATTGAAGGAGAGACAAAAATATGGCCTAATGACCTAAAATGCGATGTGTATTACTACTTTGGACACAATGAGGAGCTCCACACATCAGCCTCATTGACGAATCCGATTAGTACATCAAACGCAGATGAAAAGCAGTCGTTGAATTAACCCACCTCTCCGCATATACCTTTCGCATTACCCATACTCTCCCTGCACTGAGGCCTGCCAGCTTGAACTAAAATGATTACGCGTTTTTCACCTATTAAAGTCTCTAAAGGAAGAGTCATATGTCGCCTCAATTTCGAACAGCCATGATCACATCTTTGTGCATGTAATTTGTGCACAGCAGTGTTTGAAGCAAACTTTCAGAAAATAGCAGTTTAATCCCAAGGGGTTGAGAAGTATGAACACTACACATCGAATAGTTGAGATGAGAACACGCTACGGATTAAGCAACGTAACTGATACTGGCGGCGAGCATTTTTGGGAACACGCTGTAGGGAATACAGGGTGTGTGTGCACTCATCAACTTAAGCATTTCCATAAACATCGAGTCATTTGAATAATTGACGATAAGTCTTACATATACATATATATATGCATATATATATATATATATATATATATAACTAATACCAAGATCAACCACCGTCCTGGTATCAAACTAGTCGCACTGTGGCAAACTGACCCACAAGTGGTGCGACTGCATGTGGTGGTGACGACCTGGAACACACTTTGACCGAGCTCATCTTAGGACCCCAGGTGAACACAATGGCTAAGCAAACAAACTCTGGAAACCTTTTTCCAACCAGAATGAAGGTAATTTCTGCTTCGACTTGGTCTCTGAACGATTCATCGTGCTTCGCAGAAGTTCTCGAGGTTCTTAAAGAAGTGGTACTTCTTAGACAAGAGGCCTCTGGAATGTAAAGAATGACGCAGAGTTCTGGAACCACCATCTCGTTTACTTTTGCAGCGTTGGTAGTGCGATTTTTTGCCGCGCATTGTCGTGGAGAGGGAATAACCCCTGTTAACCCTTTCGATCCGTAATGTTTTTGATACATTTCTTCGACTCACCAAGGTTCAAAAAAGTGGAATGGATTAAGCTAGATGTAGGTCACCAAGCTGTCAGTGTGATCTTTTTGGTACAACTTTGCCTTTGCGGAGTTGTGTGGACCTTCATGGCGATCCATCGAATGAGCTGACCATCGTTAGTTATCATAGGAGATCCTCGATTCCTGATCGCTGTTGCTGTGTAAAAGAAGCGCCGACGATACCTCAAAACGGCGATTTCTACAATTGTAAGTCAACATTCGAGGTAGTCATTTGGCGGGCTTCTACTTTCCAGTTTTTTAGATGCTCTAAAGCGCTTTAGGTGCATACATGAAGTTCTTTTGCATGTTCTTGAACAGCCGTTTCTGTATTTGCTTACATAAGAGCCTTCAATTCACCGTCATCGATAGAAGAGGGATATTCGCGACCTTTCTCACTTTCATCGTCAAATTCGCTGCGACGAAATTCTTGAACACAACGTTGTACTGTGCGTTCCTTAACACTTTCTCTACATTATACCTCACTAAGGTTTCCAACCGTTTGCGCTCCGTACGTCCAAGCTTGATTTCGTAGAGATACATTTTAAGAAATCACTGTTTTAGCAGCCGAAATGCCAACCTTTAAATGTGTCATTAAAATTGCCAACCTTCAAAATTTTTTAAAACCAACGTTTAACTGTAATGTAATTACACGAGGCAAAATTGCATAAAGTAAGTTTTGAAGTTGTCTGTAATAATACAGCTTCCAAAGATAACTCTTTCCAGAACATATACAGTAAAATAGAATTAAAAATCGAGCATTAATTTCCAAGCAGCTTAACGTATACGAAAGAGGACGAGAGATACAAGAACGAAAAAGAGAGAAAGAGAGTGAGAGAAGTATCATTGAGCAGCAAATACTTTAGCATTTTTCCATGTTTAGATCCCAGTCCCACACATCACTCAAGGTTTACGTATCTCTCAGTTTATTAGACAGCTCAGGTAATACAATCTCAACAGCGTTAGACGTCCTTCAATTCTTGTTAAGTTAAGGACTCCAAAGGCTTCTACATCTGAAAATGACGACTCTGTTTCCTCATTACTTAGGAGTCACGATCAAGTAAGTACGAAATCGTTTATTTACTATAGATAATCGAAATGACCTTATTCTAGAAGCTTCCACCTAAGCGATCGATACTCGTGAAGAGCCGAACTGTGCCAGAAAGAATTCGCTCCTTGAGCATGATTTCGATAAGTCAGCCTCTTCGGAAAGTTTCACTTTGGAAAGAATCTTTTCAGCAATAATATGAGTAATGTCAATAAAGTCGTTCAAATACCGTTGGAACACCTATGTCAACACTCGAATTGAATAGAAAGCTGTAGCACAATGCACGTACCGCGTTGATATCCAACTCGTTTGAATTCTCATTCTGCTCCGTGGATCATCACCAATGCACTTTTGGGACCATAAAACGACGTAATTTTTCTCAATCATGAAGAAGTTTTTAGTAAAAGTAAGGAGAACTATTTACTATTTAGAACTACCATTTACGTAGTGGTGCAAGCCGATTAACTTGGAAACCATACGCTGCCATCGGCATTATCATCTTTCCGAGAAATAAACAGATGACGATGCTTTAGAGAATTTACAAAAATAGGTCAATTATAGGTCTGCGAGTTCAGAAAACGACAATTATAAGCAGAATAACTGTTCTATAAGCAAGGATTTATAGATCGATGGTTTTCCACTGTGGGCACGCAAGTTAGGACCAGTTCGGGTAGGTATGGCGTTCAATGCATGTAGTTAAGAAACACTTTAATCGAAAGCTCAAAAGAACGAAAAATTTGCTGCCGAAACAGTGTTGTGCAAAAGAAATGTATTGCTTTACTAAACCGAATTGCACTTAACGTCGGCGTCAGTCAGCAATATATTTCTTTAGATTGTTCAACTTACCCGAGACTGTTATATACCTTTACTCTGCTAGTATTCCAACGTCTTCAACTTCTTCAAAGCTGATGGTTCGAATTAGTGGTCCACGGCCACAAAACAGTCTAAGCAAATATATTACCTATTCAGTCCTAATTTAATAGAAGTTCTGCGTAGTAAACTTTTATCTCACTAGGCGCTAGCTATTCTAACAGCGACCGCCGTAGGTTGAATTTTTGATTTGGAGAAACTCATTGTCAGTCCACAATCAGTTGACAATCGTCCTGTATAAAAGAACATCGCCGAGTTAGGTTAGTTCGTGCGAGCGGTTCTCCACTCTAGAAGACAATGGATTTGAGTGATTTGCTCTGAAGAAGTGAAGACATTGGGATTCCGCCCTAAATGAAGTTTGTATAAGAACATCGTGCAATCGGAACAATCTTAGCATATATACTGATTGATGATAGAATTATTCTGAAAAGCTACGACGATGTCCACTACTCTCATGGCTTATATTTGAAGAGCTAAAGCAAGGAAAAGTGCTACGATAATGGTAAAACAGTAAGACTGTCGTGTGTAGTGATGCGGTCGTCAATAGACAATGAAAAGGAACAGCGCTCGTTCCTCATTCTTTCGTGGTTCGACGTTATACTGAGACAAATGCGGCAAACTGCTATGTAATATAGTATATTCGCATAATTTCCGTACTTTTTCTTCTCCGAAACTCTACCCATTACAACATGAATATAAGCAACGTCATCAATCATCGATCCATTTTGCTCAGTTAATGCTTCCACAGCTCCCACCTCCTTCTTTCTTTCTTATTTCATAATGTGCAATTCGAGTGTTGAGCTTTCCATTATTATAAGCAATATTAAAGTCAATCAATCTGTATCCTTCATTCTTACCCTGAAGGCCTTAAAACTGTACTTTATTCGCATATAAACCTGCTGTCTTTGTTAATCGCCTCATTGTGTTATTGATGCATCGGCTTACAATTTAACTAAAGAATTAGTTACTTAAATTTCAGATAGTTTCTTTTAAGTTAACAATCTAATGAACATACCTGACAAGTTGCAAGCAAACACAAGCAGACACAAGAGAGCAGTCTATCACAGCGCACTCCTCGTTCAAAGAAGAAATCCAATCGCCAACACTTTTGTTCAAAACCAGACCTCATGTATGTAGTGACTACAGCCTGAAAATCTCTTCCAGTACCTTAACACAGAAATTTCTATTTCTTGACTCTTACTCACTTCTCAAACTATAGGAGGCCACGTCTAAATGTACATATATACATATATGTATATATATAAGTGTATATGTATATATGTATGTATATATATCCGTCTCCCAAGCTGACAACGAGTCCGGCGTTTACATCAGGAAGCGCAGCTATGAGTAAACCAATACCAGTACCAGGATCCACCACCGCCCTGGTATCGAACTAGTCGCATGGTGGCAAATCTCACCCTAAGGCTGCGACTGCTTGTGGTGGTGGCGAACTGGGACAGACTTTGGCCAAGCTGACCTCGGGACTCCAGGGAAGCACAATGCCTAAACCAGTAAAACCCTAAAAAATGGTGAATGTGCTGGGTCACGCACAACCAGTAAGGACGGGCCATCCAAGTAACAAAGTAGGTATATACCTATATATATTTACATTTACATATATATACATATATAAAGGATAAGGGATAAGGCTCTCGACGTTGATCAATCCCTGAGGGACGCGCCATCTGAACTAGCTGAGAAACAGGAGAAGCGAGAAGCCCGCATGGTGTGGTGGCGAACGCGTTAGATCCTGAAAAACTTAATAGCGCGTTCGTTCCCCGCCGCAAACATCTGCGGTCCGGAGTTTAGCAAATATCTCAGCATCATTGTGGTTGAGTCACACATAATAATCTGCCTCTGAAAAATTGTAATAGGCAGTAAATACAAGAGTCAACATTGTGATTTAGACTACATCCTCAGCTTAACTAGATTCATTGCCGATTTGGACTCCGCAGACCAATCCCGTTGACGGGTGATTGTTGATGGTCTGATAGGAAGAATTAGCTGAGACCCAGGCTAAACGAAGGACGCATGATGTGGTGGTGAACGTGTTAGCCCCCGCAATGGGTAATAGCGCGTTCGCTCCCCATCGTAAATACCTGCTGTCCAGAGTCTTGCAAATATCTCACCATCAATATATATATATATATATATATATATATATATATATATAGTATACATGGTCACTCAACTATCGCTTAGTCGACATTAAGACAAATCAACATTTGAAAATTGAGAGCACATATGCAAGAACGACCAACTGACTGTTGGCACCGCTGTTCTACCTTATTACTTATTCTATGAACTAGCAAAGCAGCCACTGTACTGCTACTGTGCAGCCAGTCTAAACTTATGTTCGAACACTTTAAATTTCCATGTGGAACGTGATAGGTTGCTAAGCTGGTTAACATTCAGGGGACCATCACTACTGTTAACCGCTGACCACACACAAAAGTTCTTAGTATTATTTGTGAGCTGGTGAGTTGTCGATAAGCGCCGAAAACAGGCGAACGTTATCGGTGATTGTCATGATGTCTGGTGCTAACCTCTGGACTAACAACCATTGTGGCAGAAAGAATCCACTTCAGAAACCGCCAACGTCAACGAAGCATTTAGGAGCTTTGTTCAGTCTCTCGGTAAGCGAGCTTATTGTCAGCGAAACACTTCTGCATCCTACGCTTCCTATTCTTAAGAACATAAAGGAAAGCATGTGGAAACTAAGGAAAGTAAGCACCGAAGAAATGTACCACATTTCAACTCAACCACATTCCTTCTTGCATGGTTCTTTATTATTCTTTATTCTTTTATTGGTTCTTCTTTTATTGAATGCATGCGGATTATTACAGCTAATTCGCACAGTCGGTGTAGTAACATAGACCAACGATAATTGAAATCGTGTTGCTTTCTTTAGAATACAACATCACTTCATCACCATGGTCACATTATTCACAACTCATCATTTATTTCATAAACATCATTTTCAGATCTTACTCTCTTTTATTCTTCCATTTACTGCGTTCTATTCAACTTTTAACACGTCATATTCTAATTCCCACTCATCCTTGGATGCAGAATGTTTCAACTCATGCACGTAAGTTTATTTCTACCTTCTACGTTCGTATTATTATTTTAAGTAGGAGAGAACTTCTGATCAAACGTCTCCTCCTCACTTGTCCTCAACAAGAGGAATTTTGAAGCAACAAATCTACCTTTCAAGTTTTTTGTACTATTAAGATTTTTCAGGATTCGAATAGTTGAGTCAATCCCTGACAACGTAACATTCCACAATTTCACATTTCCTCTATCAACATTCCACGCCTGGAATCGCCTTATTGAATCTGCTAAGCGAGAACTGTATATCGCGGCATACAAGTCGAGTTTACAGGGAAAGCATGTGCTTGGCCTACACTCGAATCTCTCACATAGTGTAAGGAAAGGATGGCTTCAAATTTAAAATTGCTACCGAAAACTGTTATCACCTTTCCGTATCACGTTTGAATGTGAGCTGGTTTCGATTGAAGATGACCGATAACGGTCAACATTGTGCATTCTTATTGATATCATCGATTACGTCAAGAGACTATCACGTTTTATTGTGGGGTTATCACTTTGTTTGTGTTTCATGCTTATATCTTTTTAAAAAGCAAATGTTTTATGTAGATTTCATTTAAAGCCACAAAATCAATGATTGATACGATTGAGGGCGATACAGTGTACGACGCTCTGTTACACGTTGGCACCGTTGGCGGTGTCAGCATCAAAATGGTGGAAAATTTTCCACCAAAAGATAAAGGTGACAATGACGACGGGATAATTCTACAAAGTTTCGGTACTGATTGCTCTCTTGTGTTTTATTTTTTATATCGTTTATAGTCGAATAACTGCTCTAGTCGATCTACGGCATTCATGTCTTAATTTGCCGATGTTAGTCAAATCCCATTTTCATTTCATCACAAGTGATAACGTTTTTCGACAACTACTTTAGTTAAGGAACTGAGGACAACAAAATTCTGTTAGAGAGATTTTGCTTTACAACCACAGTGCTATAAAAAATTTTTGCGAAATACGTCTCCAATTTTGTATTTCTTTGGAACCTTTAAAAAAGATTTAAAGTCTAATTTGAAATTTTAGGCTTTGATATCTTGTTATTTTCATTGCAATTAATAAAGATCACTGTGACTTGCGGCGGCAGAAGCTAATACTGTGTTCGATGCACGGCACTTGACTCAAAAGACCGAAAAACAGTGCCCTGTAGAAAAACAGAGTTTCATCCCCATCAAAGGAGAAAAATAGGCGAAGAAGTAAAGGCTTTTAAATTCCAATGAAATTAATAAACCTCTCCATTAGCCAGGATATGTCGGTCTAAAGCGCCCGCAATCTGGACATTAAATGCATAAGAATTAGTGCATGTCGCGAATAAGTCAGCAACCACCTGTATTTTGCCGCTCATTGATGCAGTGAAAAAGACGAAGCATAAGCATTAGGCGTTGATTGGTAACTGAGATATGCGCTGTGCATTCGACTTCATCAAACTTCGCAGAAGTGGGTTAATGTATATCTGGCCTATACAGTAACTTGTGGCGGCCTACCAATGTATCGGATCAGTGCTGCCATCCTCCCAGACGAGTCCAGTACCAATTTTCCGGCACCAGAGGGAAGGAAGACCATGTGGGCTTGGGAGCGAGTTCAAACCAACTAACGAACCTATATATTCCAGGAAAACTCTAACCACTGCGCATGATCGATGACTGAGTCAGAGAAATTTTGTACCATTTTTACCGGAGAGAGTCGAAGAAATTGTGGAACATTTTCATTTCTTGCAATCAACTTTAACTATTCTCTTCATTTGCAGCAACACATAATGCAATTTTCCAAAACGATGACTCCATTTGTGGTGCTTATTTTTGATGAATGGTCATTAGCCTGAAAAATCTCGTGAAATGAGTACATTTGAATACGTTTCGTTCCAGAAGTGCTATTAACTTCTATGAGGACCAAACGTTTCTTACTTTACCACTTTATTGTTACTTGTACACCAATTTGCTACAATATTTCAGGTGGGTGAGTTTTTCTGTAGTGCTAGTTAGGCTAAACATATAAGTATTTGATAGGCTGAAATATAAGGCGCGTATAGTGCAGTGGTTAGAGGTACCTTGCAAAACACATGTGGTCGTTTGTTTTATTCCAAGAACTGGGTTAATCAAGCATTCTGTCTTTCTGTGATCGCCAAATTAGTACCACACTTATTTCGGAGATTACAACGCTGAATTATGCTCAATGAAGTCGAAAGCATGGAGCATAACTTCGAAATTAGTCAACGCTGAGCCCTTTTTCCTTCACTCTATCAATTTTCCAAACTTTCTACACACCCTTGTATTTAGGTGCAATTCATCGTCGTACTCTTGACATCGAAAAAGTTCTGGGTCGTGGAAGAATGCATTCAAAGTTTATAATCTCCGATAACAAACACTTTTACCTTGGATCGGCAAATTTGGATTGGAGATCGTTGAATCAGGTGAGATAATACTTGATGCTTAATACTTGAATAAACCGTCCTCACTAGTTGTGCGGGCCTCAGCATATTCACCATTTTTCGGAGATTTGCTGGTTAAGCCATTATAGTTCCTTGGAATCTCGGGGTCAGCCTGTCAAAAGTCTGCTCCAGGTCTTCACCACCACAGGCAGTCACAGCCCTTCTGGATCAAAGAGGGATTTGCCGCCATGCAACCTTGATACCAGGACGGTGGTGGGTCCTGGTATTGGTTTACTTTTACCTAGCCATCCTAATAGAGACTCCAGACTCCTTCTCAGCACTAGAGATCTCGTCAGGGGGTGAATCCCTCGGTGAACATCGCAGAACGACATGCAGGAACACCTCGCAGCCACGATGAGGTGGTAAACCGTTGGGAGGAGTGAGATAGTAATACAGCAGCAAAAAAGGCCATGAACAATAGAAGTACTGACACTTCCGTTCACGGATCTCCATCATATGAGGGAACTCGAGCCGGTTAGTCGCGAGGCTACGTGGCGCGTTATCAGGTGGCCTAAAGGGGAATAATCGCCGAGCAAAAGCGGCTTTTGCCTCCCTGAGACGCAGGTGGATCCAGAGGATGGATTCCCTGTTTCTGTTGCGCTGATTTGGCACATACTTTCTCTATTTGCAAGACGTATTCATGCATGCGTTCGTGGGTGCGTTCTTGCTTATACGGATTGTATTGTACGAGCTAATTCGGCCAAAAGTCTGCAATCAAGTGAATGGGAAGTATACACGAGGCGGTTAGGAGTCGCCACCAACAAATAAGCTCCTTGTCCACTCTGGAAGTGGACTGGCAAGCTATCCGTGAGTATACCCAGCCCCCACGTTCAGAGCCTAGCAGGCTATACGTGGGTATCAAAAATGATAAACACAGTAAAAAAAACCCGAGCCTCATTTCCCTGACCCTGAAAGAGCTCCCAATTTCGCAGCGTTGTGTAGGACGAGTACGGAGAGGGTGCTAAAATCTTAGGGCCAATGGAAGCTGCCTGGACTTCAAAGAACTATGGTGACGATCTGCACCTACAATGCGCGCACACTTGCATCCGAGTCCTCGATAGAAGACTTGCTCATGCAAGCAAGAAGGATAAAGTACGACGTCATCGAGGAGTTCGCGGCGTCTACGTTCTCATCAACACGAGTTTGTCCATGAACATCGATTCATTTGAACAACTTACAACCCGAATCGGACGTTTACGATGAAAAACTCGTGGATCATTACCGGCTTTGACAATCTTCGCCGTTTACGCGCCGACATCAAACTATGACGAAGAAGAACTCGAAGCGTTCTATATAGACTTGGGGAGGTTCTACAGAGAAGGCCACACATTCTTTTAAGTCACTATTGGAGATTTCAACGCCAAGATTGAACCAAGAAAAACGTCCGAGGAGCGTCACATTGGGACCAACGAATTAGAATGGAACGAATAGGGTGAGCGGCTCTCCGAGTTTATCATGGCAAGCAAGACCATCCATGGTAACTCGCAATTCCAGAAGCCCAACCCTCAGCGCTAGACATGGAAGCCTCCCAATGGAGAGTACCATAACGAAATAGACCATATCACAGTAAATAGATAGTTTCGCCTAGCCGATGTCGCTGTTGTCCCAAAATTATACACGGGATCTGACCACCGTCTCCTTCGTGCAAGATTCCATTTCTCGCAGAAATGAGAAAAAGCAACTAAATGGAAAAAGCGAAGTCCCATAACCACCGCAAACTGGGACTTATTCACTTCATTAATCGGCTGTTGGGAAGATGCCGATGTCGATAACAACGGCGAAGAATACGGTCGGCTCATTCAACGTCTTCACGTTAGCGCTATGAAAGCTGAAAGTTCGAAAGTCACCAAGAGACGTTTGTCTCCAGAAACACTGGAGCTGATGCGCCGGCGTGGAATCGCACGAGCTGCAGGCAACCGCGAACTAACGCCCGAACATGCAAAACAATGCAGACAGGCGGTAAAAGAAGATCTTAAAAAGAGAAAAGCAGCAGTAATAGTCGAAGCTGTAGAGGCAAGGAAAAGCATTCGCAAAGCCCACCGAAGCTTCACCAACTACAAGACCAAGACGATTGCACACCGACGCCCAGACGGAACAGTTACAGCGTCCGGAAAGGTAATGGAAAAAATCATTCACGAATACTACTCAGATCTCTTCGATAGCCACTTCCACCTTCCGCCAAATGAAATAAAGGAGGATGGACATATTGTACCACCGCTTCTCCTTTACGAAATTCAACATGCCATTTTGTCGGTGAAAAATCGAACAGCACCAGGTCCGGACAGGATAACAGCAAACCACCTGAAGGACCTTCCGCCAGTCCTCGTAAACACACTGGCTCGGCTCTTCACACGTTACCTGTATAAATGCAAGGTCTCTACTCAGTGGAAGACCAGGAAGACCGTGTTATTGTTCAAGTAGGGTGACCTACACGATATAAGCAACTATCGCCCAATCTGCTTACTGTCTGTCGTTTACAAACTTTTCACTCGAGCCATCCTAAACAGAATTGACAAAACACTAAGCGAAGGAGAGCCACGTGAGCAAGCAGGGTTTCGAAAACGATTTAGTACGATGGACCACATCCACACTATAGCAAGACTCATTGAAGTATCCCGAGAATACAAGAGATCGCTCTGTCTCACCTTCATCGATTTAAAGAAGGCCTTTGACTCAATTAAGATAGAAGCAGTCACGGAAGCCCTTGATAGTCAAGGAGTCACTACTCAGTACATAAAGACTCTTCGTGAGCTGTGCAAAAATTTTACAACCAAGATATGACCATTCTACAACGATATTCACTGACGTCAAAAGAGGGGTTAGGCAAGGCGATACCATCTCGCCAAAATTATTCACCGTCACCCTCAAGAACGTCATGCAAACATTGGAATGGGTTAATATGGGAGTGAAAATCGATGGTCGGCAATTGCACCATCTTCGCTTTGCTGATGACATCGTCCTTTTAACACCAAACATTAGCCAGGCGGAACGAATGCTTGCCGGTTATTATAACGCCTGTGGAAAGACTAAATCTCGAATAAGAGTCTATCGAGTTGGGAGACTAAATCTTCTACTAAATCTCACAAAAACTATGTTCGTGAAAAACGGATTGGTTTCGCATGCCGCATTCACGTCCATCGGAACGAAAGTCTCCGAATGCTCCAGTTATGTCTATCTAGGTCGGGAAATCAAATTGATAAACGACCTCGCTCCAGTGCTGAGCAGAAGGAAACGGGCGGCTTGGAAAGCTTTCGGGAGCATCAAGGATGTAGTGAAGAGAACAAAGAACACCCGACTCCGTGCCCACTTTTTAGACTCAGCGGAACTTCCCGCCCTAAGGTGTGCGTCAAAAACCGGAAGCAGGATGAAAGGTCACTCAGTTTTATCGAACGCGCAGTCCAAAGGACGATGCTAGGAGTGTCCCGTTCCACACAACTAAGGGATGGGACCCGAAGCTCCGATCTGCATCAACGATCAAAAATTAAAGTAGCCGATCTGCACGCCAAACTGTCGAAGTAAGGTGAGCCGGACACGTATTGCGTATGAATGACAACCGATTGACAAGAGCCGTTAGTGACTGGATTCTTCGGGATGTCAAACGTACTGAGGGAAGACCACCGGCCCGATGGCCGGAATTCTTCACAAAGAGGCTTGAAGAAAGATATGATGCTTGACGAGTCCCTGGAACGAGCAGAACCCACTGGGCTACTCTTGCACGCGACAGGGAAAAATGGAAGATTTACTGGCGCCCGCTCGAGTCACTCGACGATCAACGAGACTACAGGTGATACAGGTGATACTGACATTTCGACAATACAGTAGCTGCCTTACATGGCATTATAACTTTCATTAAATCTATGTGTATAATTTTTCCATCATCAGTAAATATATCGTGCATTATTCTTTTCCAAACGCTAACAAATATAGTGCGTACCTCTTAGCTTTTGAATCTGTTCTTTGAGAACACTTATTGTTTTTTTCCTGGATTACATTTCTGTATAACATTTATTATTCATTATTTTACCGAGATAAGCACTCAGCTGATGAAGACACTTTAGCCAAGATAAGCAGATTTAGCAATCCTACGTAGAAATCATCGCCTACGAAAGTTTTCTGGTTTTCTTGTGGAACTGGTAAATTTGGGCCTTTGCTCTCTCAAGAATTTCGTCGCATGCCGATCACGCTAATTCCCCGTGGAATCCCAGTATATTTCTATCTTGGGGTCCTCAAGTTCTCGCGAAAGGCATTCGCCAGCTTTTCTGGAACAGAGAAGCGTCTTGCAATGTCTGCAATCAAATGCTTTATTTAATTTCAGAAGATGGAACTTGGCGTTTTGGTGGAGAACTGTGAATGCCTTGGTGAAGACCTGAAGAACGTATTCGGTTTGTACTGGCAACTTCCATCAGAATCGCTGCAAAAAGCTCTCGAAAAGGAGGCTTTCTACAATATGAAGAAGCCGTTGGCCATCGATATCGAGGGAGAAAGAAGCGCGATTTATCTCGCGGTAATATCAAAGAAAGACCATACTCGTACTACTAAAAGTATCTGATTCTGTGTTTTAGACATCGCCAAAGGAACTTAGCAATCGCAATCGCACTTGGGATTTGGATGCGATTGTGACCGAGATCGACAACGCAAATGAATCCCTTGACGTTCACGTCATGGACTACTTTCCTTTGTTCATCTACACTTCGCCAAAAATGTGAGCGTTTTTCATAGTGATTCGAATGGAATGTGCATAACACATGATCATCGGCAGGCATTTTCCTACCATCGACGACGCTCTGCGACGGGCAGTCATTCGTGGAGTTCATGTGCGAATTCTGGCATCAGCGCTACATTATCCAGAAATCGGCATAAGATTTCTTCGTTCACTGGAATCTCTGAACAACATGAGTGAGAATACCAAAATTGAAGTGGCAAGTCTTCATTTATTTCCACAAGCTTAGTGTTCTCATCGTCTTTTTAGCAGTGACGCCCTGTCTTTAAAGTCACTGTGTACAGTGTAATAACTCCTTAGTTTTTCGTTAAAGGTTGTTTTTTTTTCATCCATGTGAACTGAGACCAAACATCACGAAGATTCTAGCACCTTTTTTATTCTAATCGTTTCTTTGTATCCATCATTGACGAAGGTAGTCGCATTTGTGTGCTGGTTCACCTGACATTTGAGCATTTTGTTTTCTTCATGAAAGTCTTTGAAAGCGGTTCGAGTTAATTATCTTTGAAATCCTAAAACATCTTAATTAGAGGTTTCTCAAACTTTTACCAAGGGTAGTAACTGCTTTTGTCGATCCGGAAAGAAATGTCCGATTTCCGTGAAGCGGTGTCACACCTTCAACCAGACACGCACTGTAGCACGGTATCTCTAATTATTACTATTACAACACCAATATTATTGTCGCTGTTACTACTATTATTATAGCCGATAAGATAGGATTGGTTAAAAAAAATAGAGAAACTTTTAAATAGCATGATTGAAGAATGATATTAATACACAAAATCGTAAATAGTGCTTTTAATGTAAAGCTACTTTGAAAAAAGCTTGTTGAAGCGTCGCACTTTACCAACTTTTGTAAAACTTATAAAATTTTACATGTGAGAATTTTTTAGCGTATATTCAAAGTACCAAGTTCTAATACTGACAGTATTGTGGTCAGCCGTGAAAGAAGAACACATAATAAGTTCATGGTGTCCGAGACAGCAGTGATAATTGGTGGGTTGGAAAATGACTTTTTTTCTGATAATCACGTTGATATTAGCATAATCTTTGTCTCTTGGTCGATTTTTTGCTAACAGTATGGTACCTTTCAAAAAATTGTAGGTTTTTATCCACTATACACTTCTGAAACGATCCTCGCTCCCATGGCCCACCATGTCTTCCAACACTCCTGGGTCGGCAAATTGGTACCAGACTTGTCTGGGAGGATAGCGGCACTGCCTTGATACATCGGTAGGCCACCGCGAGTCATTATAAAGACCAGATATGCATTCAGTCAGCCCAAACGATGCTCAACGAAGGGAATGCATGGTGCATCCTTCAGGGCTTGATCAACGCCAAGAGCTTTATCCTTTCTTTACCGACTCAGATCATAGGCTCTGGTGGAGACGAAGACGCCGAAAAGTTAACCGAATAAAAATTGTTTATCAACCTCGTATAAGCTTATCAAAGAAGGAATAATCCTTGAGAGTTCGTCATTTTGCTAAAACCACAATATGTTTAGAAGAAGATTTAGAAGAAGACAATTTGAAGGTTTGTTCAAACGCCAACATTTTCGCCATAAATAAAATGTACACGCGGATATCACTTTGAAAATAGTCATAGGTGAGATGACGATGACTTCTAGTAGGAGTGACAAGCGTGAATATTTAGATACATTTTCAATAAAAATTTTGCAAACTAACAGGTACATCAAACTGGTCAGGTGACTACTTCATGGGCGGAACAACCGGTGCGGCCATCATCGTTAAGCAATTTGGTGTAAAACGAGCTTTAGTGAGGCAAATGCAGGTGTGGGTTCGTCTCAATTTGTTTTTTTATAGAAGCTACAAGTGATAAAAAGTAAAAACTATAGCAACCCAAAAAAGCCCTTAATTCATGATGACTTTCCGATACTGTCATTAACTCGAAAAACTTCTCGAACCTAAATATGTTCATGAAAATGCGCGTATAGTACAGTGGCTAGAGGTACTCTGTGATACACATCTGACCCTTGGTTTGATTTTGGCCTTTTCACCCAACTTCAGGGTTGACGAGTAGGTACCGGACTTACTAGAGAGGGAGGGAATAAAAACGCTGAAATGATACATCGGTAGGTCGCTGCGAGTCATTGTGAAGCCCAAATATCCGTTCAATCAATTCTTATGCAATGAAATCGAATGTATGGAGTGCCCTTAAGGGATTTATCCATGTCGATTGTTCGTTTTGTCGTTGTTTTTCGATAGTATCTTCTTCGAATTAACGCAATTAATGACAAGAATTTCTACAAAAATCATATTGGAATGTGGAAGCACATGATTTGCCTAGAAGAAATCAAAGTGCTGCGCATACAATGATTGGTGGCAGGAAATTATGACGACTATATAGAAATAAAGAGAGAAATAGGTTTAGGTGATTTTCGAACGAGATTGGAGAAGCGAGTACGCGCATCCATTGGAAGACTATTTTTTCGGATGCGTCGAAAACGGATCGCGAGCTCATTTCTGTGAAGCGGAAAAGGACCCAAGCCTCCTGTCGTCTCCTCAAATGAAATGAGCTCTTTGTTAGCACAATATCTCAAACGTACCTCTTTATTATTTGGTCCTAATGTTGTAATAATTTTTCATATACAACTTAAATATTGTTGTCCTCTCTCACTCTGCCCCATAAGGTCTGTTGAATAATTTCCCGGAGAGCAGCACCACAACTATAACCCTGACTGTATTAATCTCATAGCTATATCTATAACCTAGTGCTATATTTTTTAAGCAACGATGTTCTTATTGTCGCTGGAGTTTCCTTAAACTACAAAATAACAAAACCCAGTGCAAGTTGGCTACATTGTAGGGTACAATACTGGCCATTTCTCATCTAGTCGCCCTAGTTATCTTAATTTCACCACAACATTACCAGTACTTCGTAGAAATAGTGCTTCACATTACTTGAGCTCATACGGCTTTACTACATACCACACCCTTAATTCATATAGTAAGCATTCAATACCTTGCAGCTTAATTCGGTCTCATCCAGTGATCTGCTGTCCCTCTTCCTATTCTAATCATCGCATCATTATACGCTGCCAGTAAAGTTTAATCCGTTCCATTCGCATTTTAGAGTTTTCCAAAATTTCGAGGACACTAAAAAAATTGTGCCTTTCATACAAACTCCATTAATTAAGCTATGCTTGTCGAAGAACGCTTATGGGTAGCTCTTTAAGCTGTAAAATTGCTCGCATACAACCACAGGTACTGATGGCATGAAGGACTCTCTCAGAATAGATATGGAACTTATCTTCTGCATATGATACCTTTCTACACACTTCTCACTCATTTGACTGTAGCGTTTCGATCGAATCCTCATTCAGAATACCAGCTGCATACACGTAAACACACGCACGCATGAATATGCGTGAACACCAAACATATATGTCAATCAGGTGTAACGGAAATAGGAGAGCGCCTCCTGGATTCAGTTGTGTCTCAGAACAAAGACAGTCGTTTTCGATCAAGGCATTACATATCAACAGCCTAAAGACCCATTAAATAGCACCATCTCTAACGGGCTTTAAATATCCCACATGCAGCCTTTTCGAACACCTTTTGCTCAATCATACTTAGAATATTTCAGTCATTGCACTACACTCTTCAGTTATTTCAATTTCGGGTTACAAATGTGATAACCATTACGGCGTTATTTTCCATTCGTATGCATTGTGCTCATAAACGACATGTTAGAATTGAGAAAATAAACTGTATGGTTTATCATAGTTAAAGGCTTTGTGTCCAAACGGTAGCTCCATGTATTATTGTCATAGCATTGCATTTGAGTATATCATAGTTTTTTCTTGAAAATCAAGCACGAGTAGGACATTTAATGAAGATCAATTTCATAAATAAACATCGAATGTCATGCATAAAAAGTCTAAGGACACGGGCAACGGGAAGTCCTTGAATAGAATGATTACAATAGTTAAGCTAAAAAAATCCATCTCATAATCCTCACTTTGGAAATGAACACGCCTCAGACAATGAGATCGGCTAGATAAGGAACACGTCACATATGGAAAACGAGTATGACATGTTACGAAGAAGCAGCTCTGACGAAAACAATCTGACCTAGTGCATTCGATAATCCTAGTTGCCGAACATTTAACAACAAAACAATAGACAATAAACAACATTTAAGACTACCCAGACCAGAGAATAACATATGGCTAACAAAAATGCCAGCAATATTCGAAGAGTAGTGTTAGAGTGGAGTTGAACCGAAATCAATTCCTAACCGCCTGATATACAGGCAATCATTCAAAATGGCGGCCCTTATTTATAGCGTAAATACAGTTGGTATTCTTTATAAAGAAACAGCTTCAGCGTCACACATAGGCAGCGGCTTGCCAACCTCGTTCGTTTGACACGACCTCCTCTCCTTCACTGCAGACTTTAGACGAGAATATAGCAGGTGTCCGCGGCGTATCCCCGTTCGACGTACGAGGACTGGCAGGTGTTTTCACCTCAGATGGCCCCGAAGAGGGCGGAATCGCCGTCGTTCGTTGCAATGGTGACGCAACTCGAACCGGATGACGCTGCGGTGTCGACGAAGTGCTCTCCTGCTTATGTGATTTCGAACTTTCGAAAAAAGACCGATCTCCACTCGTTGATAGCCGATCCTGTTGAAATTCCTTGCCTCGCTGAAACAAAATCAGCTATTGAAAAGCTGACAAGAAATCACGAAATATATTGGACGGAAGACTCACGATTTTAGTCAACGATATAAAGAACTGATAACTGTGAATGTAAACTACGTAGGAGCATCACATTACCACCTCAACTATTATTAATATGAATCCTAATGAAGGAGTGCAAACCACATAACTCCTCCTCATGAGTAAGGATAACAACAAAGATTAAGAACTTTGTTCTGGTTTACTCCTCTCCCCCCTCCTTTCCCTCTCACCCAACCTGACCATGACCATGACCATTAAGAAGCTTTTTCTCTAAGTGATATTCTTTGAATGAAGAATAACAAATTGGCGATAAACTTCTAGTCCAAAGTTGAAAAGTATAACGGACCAGTACCACAGAAAGGCCACCGAAAAAATAGTCATCAGAGATGTCAATGCAATAATACGTTCACGCAAGGTCTGGTCCTACATACCCGAGGGTCGTAGATCTCCCATCCCTCCACCGTCGACAAATTAATACCATAATTACCTGGGAACAACTTTTACTGAGCTACAAAAGCCAGCGACTCTGGTGACGAACTGTGAGTGCTTAGTAGGACACACAGGTCCAGAAGCCTAGGGTAAAATGAAGACAAGGTCTTTGAATAACAGTTGAACCCACGCGCAATTCCGAAGATCTTTGTGGATGACGAGTGGGAGACGATAAACCAAATGAATGACGTAGTACTGGGCTCGGTACAGCATGTGCAGCTGGCTCATATTAATGAAATCAAATGGAATGAAATCTTCGAATTAGTTTAAACTGCATTTCGAGGTTTGTTAAGCGCCCCTGCTTTTCACGTATAATCGAACTCTATTGTCCAACATATATTTCATATCTATTTTGAATCCACATCTTCAAAGAAACGTCAGATAATGCATTGTATGATGCTTCACATAAACCAAAACGCATTCGACGCCTGACCTATAAAGAAATCTGAACTTTTCGTCTTTAATAAAATTGCGTTAAAAATATAGGTTAGTTCACGAAGGATGTCCATTTTTATCAAGGTTAACTTTGCAGAAAAAAACCTTGTTGTAAATAGTCATCGCCTACAATGTTGCACTACAACAATCAAACCTTAATATTTACTTTACAATGATTTTAGTTGGGTTAAAATACTGCTCTCAAAGCGCAAAAATCACATTTTGCTTCATGAAATCAAAATTGGACGTGAAAGAATGAAAGCAGCTCGAGAAGTCGTCAAAAAATATGTCAAAGAAGGTTTTCCAAACCCCCAATACGTAGCCCCTTCTTAAAATTTCGTATCAAAGATATGAGTGGTAACGATGAAGAACACTATGAAGTAATTGACGATGACGATCTGAAGACGTTAATTGAAACAGTCCTACACGAAAAAAAGTCCACCACCCAACAATTGCCTGCCATCTAAAAAGTGTTCCCCCACATTTGAACGAGATATCGTCATACGTTATGCGAAATGCAGCATTTCTTCTATTCGGTTTGTTGTACTTCACACGCAATCCACGAAGATCTTTGGGTTTGCACGTGGGTTCAGCTATTAGTTGAGGACTTTGTTTCCATCATGAGTGACGTTATATGTTCGGCAAGTTGATGCACACTGGAATCCTAGAAAAGCTCTAATAGAGCACTCCTAACTCTTGAAAGCACACCAGCTTTTGTGAATCAGACGAAACTTTTCTGTCACAAATCCTATGAAAGTCTCCTGACTGCAAAGGCATGGGGCTAGTTCAGGACGTTCGGCGTCCACCCATAGGGTATAAAGCGCGTATTGCATACAGCTTTAACCAATGCACTTCTCGCGTTCATTAGCCATTTACCAATTGTCCTTCATTTATTGGACATTGGAAAAATGAAGAGGGTTGAGAAATGAGTGCTGTACAAAATAAATGAACGTCAGCAAGATCGCCATCGTGAAGTCTGCTCTCCACTTCTTTTACACAATGAGAAACCCATTTCTCGATTGTATTGTGATGCACGATAATAAAGGGATCCTATACGATAGCTGATGACGATTAAATCAGTTTTTGGATCAATAAGAAATCCATAAGCGTTTTCAGCGGTCTAATTTTGACCAAAAGGGTGACTTTTTCATTTTTGGAGAGAGAATTATATAATACAACGTCTTCGGTCTTGGTAAAATGATCACCACAGAGAACTAATGCTTTGAAACTGACGAAATCCTGGAAAAACTGTAAGGCATATGTCTAGACATAACCAACAGAAAAGGTTCAATGTTCTTCAAAGACAATGTGCGACCATACGTTGCAAAACTAATACTGCAAAAGTTGAGTGAGTGTGTTAGGAAACTACCTTACCCTTCATGTTCAATAGAACTTGCTAAGTAACTGTCACTTTTGTCTACCATCTCGACAACTGGTAACTGAGAAAATCTTCAAAAATCAAATGCTGCTAAACGCTTTCAAAGAACTCGTCGCTTGTAGAGTTTGAAGTTTTAAGTTGTCGGAGTAAATAAATTTGCAAAGTGTTGATAAAATATGTAAATTTTAACAGGTCTTTTGTGACAACTAAAGTTATGCTTGAATTGAGTTACAGCACTTTGTGGTTGAAATCAGCCATTGCTTTTGAACAAGCCTAAAATCTTTGGCTTCCTTATCAACTTAATCCTAATAAGGTACCTTGGTGCGCTATCCGACCCTTTTATTTGCCCACTTGGAAACAAGTTCGGCTTTCATTTTAACTGCAAATGAAACGTCAATTTCGGGCATAGGAAACAGCGCATGAGCTCTCTCAACTCATTCAAATCTAGTCTCATTCCAAAACTACATTTGTATTCAGTGGAAGTGCGACTCGCTTGATGACACATAGAGGCAATGAATCAGCTTTCGGTTGAAAGCACTTGCGCAAAGAAGATGATGGACAGCTCAATGCGTTGTCCAGCGTGGACGGCATCATTAATAATTTTTCGAAGCTCGAGATAACAAGGATTTGGTCGACTTAGAGAATGTGAATGGGTTGGCGACCGTGCACGAGTTACTAATGAATTGCTCAGCACAGAAAACTAATACCACTTAATACATATATAAAAAATACCCATTGCAAATGGCGATTGCTATATAAAAATACATCAACTTAAAACCTGAATCTCAGTGATAAAAGTTTCCTTTTAACTGAGCGAGTGCGAAATTTAAAGTGACGAAACATGCATCACCTACGTTTTTGAAAAGACTCAGCCGCTTTCTAATCGGTTCCTTTGGTGCTTCTACTGACACTTCTTCTCCACAATAGACACCAGAGCTACTACTTTGCCCAACAGATTTTCGTCGACTTGGTATACGCTGATTACCAAATCGTGTAGTTTCTTCTTTATTCGACACGGCAGCTGATGCTTTCCTGACGAACTTCATTAAACTCAACGAGTGGTCCTAAAATTATTGGCAGAAATTGGAAATCCAGAAGTTAAAAACGTTTTGTATCAACTATGCCATTGCATGCAACTACAATATTGCGCATGTAATAAAATTGCACCACTAAAAAACAGAAGAAACATAAAATATCATTAGCCCACTATACTTTGATCGCAACTGGAGTTAAGAACATCTGGCACTGCTTAGAAACTAAACGCTATGCACTAGAAGGAAAGAAAACCGAAGACATGCATAGCACAGACCTTTTGCGCGTGCTTGAGGCGATCGGCTTCACTAGGTAGTTCACAATACGAGACATCTCCATGCTGGTGAAACTGAAGATTATGCTCGATAGCCAAATTTGGTGATGTGATTATTGGATCTCGAGGAATAGGCACATCCTTTTTACCACCATGTACACGCTCTAGAAATTCAATTCATTCTGTTATTCTGGAAACTGTTTTAGGAAGGAGTTACATTCAAGTCACAGAATTTTTTTCCGCCAATCATTTGGTAAAAAAGTTCTTTATGTGACAGGAAATGATTCATGTTCTTAATTAGACTGTTTCACATTCACTTAACGTAGAAGGTAAGAACAATGTTTTAACGAAAAAATTGGAAACGGTTCAAAACAAAGTTAAGTCATACCATTGTACTGGCTTTGAGTCATCACTGTCAGACTGCGCGTTCCGATATTACCGATTGAAACCGAGTTTCTTATTACTTCCAGTGTTCCACTGAACAACACCGTGACAGTGGTGTAGTCAATGGAGTACTTGCTCAGCAAAGGTCGCAATACACCACCAGCAGACAGCGAATGCCGAGCTCGAACTAATATAACCCTGAAGCTTAGATATCTCAAAACATATTTAACACATTTACAGTAGGCGTACGCAATGTAACATACTTTGTCGGAGTGCTACTAGGGCTTTTGAATGAATAGTTAGGCGGTAGAATTTCGACGGCAAACGTTACTACGGGAACGATTCGAACTGATCGTGATTGTAAAGCATCGATTGCCTGTCGGGCAGGGTCAATTGTGCTGCACGTCTATAAAAAGAAGATACGCATTAAGAACTATCCTCAACCAAGTAAGAACAGGGAATAAACACCTCGGCATCCACGGCCTCTGTCGCATTTTTATCCATGGCTAGCATAATCGCCATATTTTGCGTCCATTGCCGCACGGAAATTGTCTGAAGAATGATCATCATAAGAAATAGCGACAGGACTGTCAGTAAACTCATGTCACGTACTGGATCGGTCAGCTTGACAACCTGAGTACCGCAAGTGTCGCCGGTCATTAAGCGGCAATATTTGGGTTCCGTTCGAGAAGGCGGTGGATGACGATGTGGTAATGAAGTGGACATCTGAAATCGCCCAAGAGAATCGAAAGTGGAACGGCATGTGCTGGCCAGATAAATGACATTCATTGAAGGTTGTGTTAACGAGGCTAAAACTGCATGCAATTTATGATATGCTGTCACTTGTGAACCATTCCATGATTTTCTTGTAATTGTACGGTTTGCAGAGAAGTGCTAATTGCCAGCAGCCCCTCAGTGCGACAGAATTTGAAGAAGAGCTCACAACTAAATCATTTTTAGACCAGAATGAAAACTACTACGATTTCCTAGCTACTGTTTGTGATTCCTTTCACGACTAGTATTTCCATACAAAATATATTTATAGACTCTAACACAAATCACATTACACGTGTATCAAAACTCCTTGCAGTAGTTATGTTATTTTTCGCCTAAGAATATCAAGACGATCTGGTCTGGGGAATTTAAGAGTGTATCAAAATCGCTTACTAAGGTTATTAACTTATTGTCACTGCTGAATGCTTATAAGCACTAGCTGTTTATTGCATACGGCACTCAAACCATTGCAACTTTAACAGTACTCAAAAAAATGACTAAGGCGATCACATTGAACTTAGCCAATTATCTTCTTGATCTCATTCCAAACTTTCTAGTAAAGAAGCTGAACAAAATAAATAAGTTCACTACATCAACATCAGTGGAGAAGCATGAAAAGTGATATGGGTGGCACCTGGTGGTTGTCGTTCCCTCATCGACAGAGACAAGACAACACTTGCCACAAAAACAAACGATGTAAAATGACTTCCACATGCCCTCAAATCTCAGATGTCATCACGAAGCAGTACACAGGTATAGTTAGACAAGAGTAACCACACTGCTTTATTACTTCTTGTTTCCAAGATGCGTATCAGCCATGCCACAAACGTTTAGGATAGAAAAGAAATATCTTAGCGGTATATTTGGTAGGATCCTCCACTCGCAATGTAATTCCACTGAAAAACCGTGTTTAGAGTCATACCTCATCCTTCAAATGTTCGGCATGAAATTTGTCAGCACAGTACTATTCACCTTAGCACAACGAACTATGTCGTGCAATAACAAGTATAAGCGGATCCTACTCAAACCACCGCATTTGTACAGAAATCGGAAGCACACGTAGGTTCGATTAAGGACCTTTTCATATTCAATAAACGGTGATTGACCGTATCATCCTGTTCGTTACGTTCCGATACGATTTTTACCCATAGGCTTATGCGTACAATTTGGGTTGTCCAAAAAAGCATTAGTTGTTTTGTCTACTGAGACCTGGTTTTCAACGCATTTGCGACGACGTGAATCGTATATGTCTTATTAATGAAGTTTGGAGCGAACAATAATCCATTTTCCAAGCTTTAAACTAGCACATATAAGTATTTAATAAGCTCTACAAAATAAGATAGAAGCCACTAGGTCTGCAGATCTTTGACAAAAACATGCAAATCTTCTTATTCTACCAAAACAAAATACTTGTTTTCCGGAAATCAAAAATTGCTCATTTTCCATGTCATTCCATTAGAGTTTGCATTTTTAGAAGCAAAACGGTCGGGCAAATGGGATCTCATCCAGCATTGCCCAATCATTTTGTCAAATGCATAGAATTACTGAACACGTAAGCACTCCAACTATCAAATATTTCCGACAGTTATCAGAAACCAGTACCGACAAGAGTGCATTGTGCATTTCAAAGAAAAAAATCTACGTCTTCTCCAGTGATCTACAGAATGTAATGGTAACAAATTGCACTCAATGTATAAGACGGAATTGCTACAGGTAGTAGAGCGATTCCCTCTCAACGGCTTACCGCCTCATCGTAGCTGGGAGGTGTTTCTGAGCGTTGGGCTGCGATGTACAGCTAGAGGATTAATCCCTTTGCAAGGTCTCCCAAGCTGGAAGGAGTCCGGCGTTTCCATTAGGAAATCCTGCAAAGAGTAAACCAATACTAGGATCCACCATCGTACTGGTATCAAACCAGCCGCATGATGCAAATCCCGCAAGTGCGGCGACTGATTTCGGTGGTGACTACCTGGGGCAGAGTTTGGTCAGGCTAACCTCGGGAGTCCAGGGAACCACACTGGCTAAACCAGCAAAACACCGAAAAATGGAGATTATGCTGAGGCCCGCGCAACCAGTGAGGAGGGCCTATCCAAGTAACCAAGTAAGCAGAGAGCTTCTAAGGTGCACATTTCGTTGTACAGTTCCACTTAATGTTTCTGTCTTTTACTGCCGTGCACATTGAACTTAGGCCATTTGAACGAAAATATGGAAAAGCCAAATTGGAGCAATGTCTTGAATAAATAGTGGTATATAAAATCGGTGAAACGACTCGCTTCGCATTGTCTTTGTTCCTACAGTTCAAATAACCGACAACAAACACCTAGTGAATAGTTGGGTTCAGAAACTCCACGATAGAGCGCAATAGAGAGCACTCACTGCTGTCGATATGACAACTTTAAGCAGAACCATTCAAAACGACTCTAGAGTTTGCGGAAGAACTAGAACTAGACGTAAGCAGAGGACCAGTTTTGGAACACCTCCGATGTCAGGAAAACTCGTCCAAAAATACTGGACAAATCATTGCCATACGATTACAAAGAAAAGCAGAGTTCGCTGCTATTGAAAGCATATTCGAGGTGGAATAAAGAAATTACGAAGTTTTTCGTGTTAAGCAACTTAAACCATACACCATACGTTTATGAGTAATGAAATGAAAAGGCTTATTACACAAAATTAGTGTCAGGCGTTCAATAAAATGCAACAAAAATAACGTCTGCGAGCAGCAGTGACCAAACGGAAGCAACTAAACCTGTACACTACATGGCCTCACCACGCGTGATGCAACTGCCACCGCAGAAGTTGAATTAAGTTCAAAATGGCCTTCACTGCATTGTTTTTTGATCTCTCGTAAAAGAAAATACCATCCTCAATTTATCTCAACGGCTAATTTGTTTACCTTTGCATATTCTAATGGATTTTATTTCGATATTGTAAATGTATGGTCTAAAAAGGCATGCAATTTAGGAACAATCTAGGAACGATTTCTGTTTCGTTTTCACAGACAGCGGTTCAAGAAGCAGTTGGTTGATAGCCAAGTTTCAGGGTTACTGTTTTTTCCTTAGTTATAGCAATGTCTAAAAACTTAAACTTATGCTTCTCCCAGTAAGACACTTGTACTGCCCACATAGTTCACAGTGCTCTACGTTTGTTTTCTCTTGCAAAGGAAATTTATACTGCTCATATTACGCTTTAAAAAGTGTGAATAAATGCAAAGGTCTTATAACGAGTTTTACCCGAAATATTAGATGATAACGTCACCATGATATCAATAGCAAGTTACCAATAAGAAAACATTAGATTAAGAAACGATTTCTAGAAATATAAACAATAAGATACAGTATATTAGAACGTGTTTCAATAAGAACCTTCAGAAGTTTGACAACAACGAATAGCCAAACAACGTAACCATGCAGCATAGCAGCAACACAAACAACCACCACACAATAGCGAAAACAAAAGTTGTTGAATGAAGATAAAAGAAAGAAGAAAACAGAAACAAAAATCTGGAAGACAGAAGAGAACAGTGAGTGATTGTTGATAACCGCATGTTGTGTTCTCACATGTGAATGGCGACTCTGTCTACCTCAGCGGGCATGGAGAGCTGCTTTCCGTCAATAGCGAACAAACTGCGACGTTTAGAGCAGATCAAGTCGACTTCTCGTTGCCGAGAAGTGGAAGCCGCCGTCGTCAACCCGCTCTCTTCGGAAGAATATGAGCGCTGAGGCGGCCGCTCATCGGTTTTCGTTTGTGAGCTTCTCGTCCGGTTTATATCCTTGTGCTGATGAAACAAACGTGGAGGGTCTACTGGTGAGCCATTGGTCGAGCGTAACGCGATCGACTCGCGACGTAATTTGCGTGAGAACCGATCGAACCCGTACCATAACAAGGAACGAAGTTTGTCCTTCTCAGTAAACTGTAAAACATGCATTGCACAAAGGGCCACGACCATACAAGAGCGAACCACCATGAAAATGATCAACTATGTTGAAGAGGTTCATGCCAAACTCCATACCTACCTTTTTGCGATCTGCTGCACACAAAGTTGACGTACTGGTCGACGGATGTCGGTCACCCTCGTTCGTTGACCGCGTAGCATGACATTCTGGCAAATCTTCTGCAATAGAGCAGTTCTTTACCTAGAATCTTCTCGAATAACAGTTAATTATAGCAGTCATAATGCACAGTAAATTTAGTAAAAAATGGATGTCAACATTAACTAAGCTCATCGCAGATCACACTCCATATGAATGACTATGTAAATTTTTTAAAACTAGTATGGCGTAATTGTAAGCGCACCATTGTTGAGTATATCGTACAACATATTATGAACAGTCTACAGATAATGAAGTGTAGTTAAACTGCTTTACGAACTGAACAGCTCCTATGGCTAACCACTTGAGCGTAAAATTTATAGATAGTGAACACATAAAGCACACCAGAAATGTAAAAGAATAAAAGCTCTCGGCGTTGATTAATCCCTGAGGGATGCGCTATGTATACAACTTCATTAAGTACCGTTGGAGATGATTGAATGCACATATGGCCTTTACGATGACTCGTGGTGGCCTACCGATGTATCAGTGCTGCTATCCTCCTAGACAAGTCTGGTACAATTTTCCGACTCCGGAGGGATGGAAGGCTTGGTGGGACATGGATGTGGGAATGAATGCCACGTGTGTGCCGCAGTGGCGCCTCCATCCACTGCGCCACACGCGCCCTACCACAAACCATAATATTCAATATAACAGCAGCAACATAATTAAAACTAATAATTAAAAAGCAAGCACCTCCTATATCAAGACGATGCTGCCGCTCATCCTCTTCCGCCAATTCTTCATCGGAGAACTCCGGCTGCACACCACCCGCTCGTAAAAACCGAGGCCAGCAGTCATATTTGAGCAAATGAAAAATCTGTAGAAGCAATGTTAAAACAAGTAATACTATCATACGAACACTATTTGATGAGCTTACAAGGGCTTGTCAACACAGAATTTAGCTTCTATAATGTTGAGATATTTGCAAAACTCCAGACCCCAAGTGTCTGCAGTGGGGAACGAACGCCTTATTGTGATTATAACTATAGCCTCAGCTTAACTGGGTTCATTGCCGGTGTGGGCTCCCCAGATTAATTCCGTTGACGGGTGATTGTTGATGGAAGAGATCCATAGAACTAGCTGAGACACAGGAAAAACGAAGGACCCGCATAGTGTGGTGGTGAACGTTTTACTCCCTGGAAAGGACAATAGAGCCTTCAATCCCCACCGCAGACACCTGCGGTCCGGAGTTTTGCAAATATCTCAGCATTATAGTAGTCTAGATGAGCGTCCATGCACAGCACAAATTGTAAAATTTTTCCTAATGGGAGAGATAGAGATGTTATGAGTTCAGGAACACACATCTAAATTTCCAGATATAATGTACAGGACCTGAAAACAAACGTCACCATGTTCGAAGCAGTTCCCCACATGGGACGATTGCGCGAGAGACAGACGAATGAAAATTTTGCTAATGCCCGCACTACCTGTGGTGACCGGCCATCCAGGTATCCGAGTAAGTAATATACCCGACCTCTGGTAAAACATTAGGTGATGAACACATTACCGCAACCGGTAGACCACATTGTGCCCGCATAAAACACCTATATGGCAAGCTCAAAAACCCGACGAAGTACTCTAAGTAGGTACTGGGTACAAAAGCACAACAATAATTCTAAACTGGCAAACACGATCCTGACGCAGGTATCAAAAACACCAAGGCACAAAACTATTGACGCGTTTTAGACAAATTTTAAAAACTTAAAAATGAAACAGAACGAATGAATGCCTCTCTATCACACGTGAATTAGCGCCTTATCTCAGAAGAAAACGGCGAATACTTCCTAATACACGACTATCAGATATGGTTTACAAGCAAGATTTTTAATAAGAATACAAAATATCCATCAAACGTGAAAGACACCGAATAATTACAATAAGGCTATATAACAATACACATGGGCTCTGAAGTAGGCGAAGTCGTCGAAATTCTAGCTATCGAGGATCAAAATGCGTGTTGACAGCCTCTTGAAAGCTCATCAAGGAGAACTCGTAGGATAATAAGTGGATTACTAATGCCTAGGATGATCGGAAGTATGTCTTTTGAAATATGTTAAAACACGAAGCAAAGGGATTATGAAGAGACCAGAGGTAAATAAAACGGAGAATGAGATAAGTGAGAATCGACTGTGAACGTGTTCTTTAAAACTTTTCGTCAACGAGAACGAAAAAAAATGGAATTTCTCACCTGGTTCACTGTGCAGATTCCACTTCCGACTTCTAATTCCCTTATCCCCTTTTATTACTCGCTCCTCAACTACTAGTTAATAACCAAAGGTGCCACTTGTGCTACTAAGCCTACGATAAAAATGATCGCTTGTTTTAGAGAACGGAAAAACGTATAAGAGGATAGCATTAATTTCGCGTAGATGCTTTCACTGTTTTCTTGATGAGCAAACTATTGTAGTATTTATTTACTAACAATAGCTGACGTTTCGGCAGTTTCGCCTTTTTCAAAGCTTAAAAAAGTCAAAATGAAACGCAATCTACTCAATCAAGCAGTTTCATAATGTTAGCAGGTAAAACACAATACATAAATTTTCGCTCGCATACTAAACAGCCAGTTTTAAACAGTACTGGTTTCCTTCTTTATAAGCCTGCCAATTATTGTTGGAGAACATCCGCACAGTGTCTTAAGTGGGTGAAGAATAACATTCTTAACACCAAATAACTGGGACGCTTACAAAAAACAAAACGGCCCTGAAGAAAACGAAACTGTCGAAACGTCAGCTATTGTGAATGTATAAACGCTGTAATAACAACGTTGTGTTTCCCCATAATGAAAATTGGAACTATTGGTGAACGCCAGAGTTAAAGCAAAGTCGATCCTAGAATTTAATACTTTCAAGACACAATACCTTAAAGCAAAATTAATAGAAACTAAATCCTACTACATATACATATGTTTCAGATTCATCAGGAAATTCGAAACATGAAAGAGTATAATTAGGAACTTGATCGCTGCTTACGTATGTTTAGAAAAGAATCCAGTACAAAGGACTATACGGATAACAAGTTGTACCTATGCAAGAATATTATTGTATAAAAACGATAAAACGATAGAGTAAAGTCTTTTCTACAAGTCTCTCACTTTCACAACCCCCAAAGCACTTTGGTTATTGAAAAATAAGTTCTTATTGTGAAGAACCCAGTAAGTTCGTAGCTGACGAAAAATTTCCTGTATCAAGTTCGAAGAGCTAGGCCAAACGACGCGTGTTAATCAAATGTTACGAGTTAATCAAAATAGAAATTATTAAAACCTACAAGTTTCTCCCTACTTGTTGTAACATTTTACCGAGATTAAATTATGATCTTCTTTACACCATGAAAAGTATTTATTCGTTTTTCAAGAAAAGCTTCCATTTTAAATATAGCGGCAAATATTCTGCGTAATTCTACTATTCATGGGTACTGCGTAAACGTTGAATTTTCTAAGTTACCCACTACTTCCAGTTTTTTGCGAAGTTTATTTCTAAACACATTGAAAATTGAAAGAATTTCAATGAAATAATATATAGGATGACATAAAAGAGTAGAGCTTCTTATATAAATCTGTGAAGTTGTTAACTGTTGAGATACTCCAGTGCTCGAGAAGTTATCGCATTCAAATAATCAACATAAGGCGCTATGGGTTATACCTTTTACAAAAAAATTCTAGAGAATGACGATTTGCAAACCGTAAAAACCCCACTGACTGACGCGTACTAAACCTTCCTAAGTTAAAACCCTCAAATGGGTCAACTTTAGTTTTGTTAACATATCATCGATGGACTATAGAGTGCAACAGTATATCTTCCATTGTTCGCAAGCTCTTAATGCAACAGTTGCCTGGTGCGTTCTTTTTAGCTCCAAGACCACCAAAATCATAACAATTCCAAAAACTTGCTTCAGTTTTTTCTAGAAGATATCGAATATTCCGCCCAGCCATTTCGACGTTTCGGAATGAATACAACCACAAGAAATTATTATGGAGCAATAAGAGTGGTTAAATTTAACAGATACAAATCCTGTGCATGTGATCAGATCATATCTATAGAGGACCTCGAGTAAGTATTCTTTAAGCATGCAACTACATTCTAATATAATAATAGTGCTGGTATAAGAGATTAGGGCTAAGTTATCTACTACTTGACCACCAAAAAATACGCTGTAATTCAAAACAACGAATACCTGATACTGAGCTAAATCGAATGTGTTTCGAGGATATTTGCCCGCCTCCATGGTCTCCCGAATACGTTTACTGGTTGAATTATCCACATTAACTGGTTCGGCACTATTCGTCGCAAAATGCCGTTCATAAATATGTCGAGCGAAATTTGCTCGCTCAGAAGCCTATAAAGCAACAAATTTCTTTTTTCCCTCTTCTCATTCACACAAATTAGTTGAAATACGGATATCAGCGCTATTTATTCTTCAAATTTGTTTTCTTAGACCACTAAACCATTGTCGCACATTATACCACATCCCAAAAAATAACCACGGCGATTTCCTATTTAAATATAGAAAAAAGCAACAGAATTTTTCCTAATGCTGACTTTATATTCCGCACCGGTACACATTCGTACCTACATACTTGGATACTTGGATGGTTCGCCCACAATGACTGTGGGGACCACAGCATAATCCCCAATTTTTCGGAGGGTCGTCACCGCCATAGAAAGTCGCATCTCCCGTGGATCAGAGGAAGATTTGCCACCGTGCGACTAATCTGATACCAGAACGGTTGTGGATTCTGGTATTGACTTATTCTTAGCTAGGCTTCCTGATGGAAACGCCAGACTCCTTCTCAGCACGGGAAACTCTACCAGTGGGATGAATCACATTGCTGAACATCGCAACTCAACACCCAGGAACACCTCCCACCTGCGTTGAGGCGGTAAACCGTTGGGAGGCTCTATCTACATGTATAAATAAAATAAAAAGAGAAAGAGTTCCTTTAATTTCTAGAACTACATGACTACAGCGCAAGCTGTTGATTTGAGGGTCAACTTTGGAACTTACGAAAATGCCCTAAGACTTTTCTTTATGGGAAGGCCTTAGTTTGGCAATATCATTGCAAGGAGAATTGATTCTACCAGCATTTTACAACGTTCGCAAGAAACACGGAATCCTCTAGTTCTCCCGGAACCACAAACGAAATATTGGAAGACCTTTCTGGACAATGAATGCAAAGAAAACGAATCGAATACAAGAAATGTTGAGATCCCTATTTATATATATATATATATATTTATATATATACACTTGCATATACATATACATTTACAACCTCCCAGCGGTTTACCACCTCCTCATGGCTGGGAGGCGTTCCTGGGCGCCGAACTGAGATGTTCAGCGGGGGATTCGTCCCTGGCAGGGTCACCCAAGCTGAGTCCGACGTTTCCATTAGGAAGCCTAGCTAAGAATAAATCAATACCAGAAATCACCACCGTCCTGGTATCAAAGTCGCATGGTCGCAAATCCTTCTTTGATCCACAAGGGTTGCGACTGCCTGTGGTGGTGAAGACCTGGGGCAGAGTTTGGCCAGATTGACTACGGGATTCCAGGGCACGATGCCTTAGCCAGCAAATCTACTAAAAATGATGATTATGCTGGGGTCCACACAACCAGTGAGGATGGGCCGTTCAAGTATCAAGTATCAAATATACATATACACATACGTACATACATGCATAATCATATATATATATATATACATTATATATATATATATATGTGTGCAATATAAGATGTGCATCAGTACCAGCTCTGACAAACCTCATCGTCTACCCACTGACATCAAGTTATGACGAAGACGAAATCGAAGCGCTCTACATCGATTTAGCAAAGCTCTATCGAAGTTCTACAGAGAAGGTTATACATTCCTTGAGGTTATCATTGGAGATTTTAGAGCTAAGAATAGACCTAGAACGGAAATACGTCTGAAGAACTGGTAACCACGGATTAGAGTGGAACAAGCAGAGTGAGCGGTCGTCTAAGTTTATCACAATGACCAAGACAATTCATGGTAACTGACAATCCCGGAAGCCCCGCTCACAACGTTGGACATAGAAGTCTCCCAGTGGAGAGCACCATAACGAAATAGATCAAATCGTAGCAAATTGAACGTTTTGCTTAACCGATGTCGCTGTTGCCCCAAAATTCTTGGGTTCAGACCATTGCCTTCTTCGCGCAAGATTTCATTCCTCGAGGAAAGGAGAAAAATAAGCTAAATTCAAAAACTAATGTCCCATAGTCACCATTAACTGGGATTAACTCAGCTCATTGATTGGTTATTGGGAAAATGCTGGAATTGATAACATCCACGAGGAATACGAGCTGCTTATTCGATATATTTATGTTAAAAGGATGAAGGATAACGCTCTCGATGTTGATCAATCCCTGAGGCGTGCACCATGCATTCGACTTTAAGCAACGTTTGGTGGTGAATGAATCCATGTCTGGCCCTTAAAATGACTCGCGGTGGCCCACCGATATATCGAGCCAGTGCTGCTATCTTCCCAGACAAGTCTGCTGCCAATTTACCGACACCGGAGGGATGGAAGGCTTGGTGGGTCATGGGCACGAGGATCGATTCCACGTGTGCGTCGCAGTGGCGCCTCCAACCACTGCCCCACACCCGCCCATAATTATATTAGTGCAATGAAAGCCAAGAGTTCTAAAGTCATCCAGAGATTTCTCTCTCAACAATCAAACTGATAAGCCAGAGTGCAAACGCGCGCTACAGGCAATCACCAACTCACGCCCGAACTAGCAAAACAGTGCAGAAAGACGATAAAAGATCTTAAATAGAGGAGGGCATCAGTTATGGTAAAAGCAGTACAGGCTGGAGAAACTATTCGCAAAGCATACCGACGCGCATACGGGACACTTACGGCCTCCAGAAAGGCAATGTGGAAAATCACTCACGACTACTTCTCGGACTTCTTCAATAGCCATTCCTTCTGCAGTCATGGAAGCAAGATTTGTTTCCGATCCGTATAAAAATTTTGCAATCTTTGCTAACTTCGCTTTGCTGGTGACATCGTTCTCATAATACCAAACATTAGCCAAGAGAAACGCAACGAATGTTTGCTGACTTTGATAAAACCTGTGGAAAAACTGGTCTTAGAGCAAATCTTACAAAAACGATGTTCATGATGAACGGATTGGTTTCGCATGCTCCATTCACACTCAACGGAACGAACGTCTCCGAATGCTCCAGCCATGTCTATCTAGGTCGGGAAATCAAATTGATACCTCGCCCCAGTTCTGAGCAGAGGGAAACGAACGCCTTGGGGAGCTTTCAAGAGCATCGAGGATGTAGTAAAGAGAAAAAAAAACACCCAACTCCGTGCCCACCTTTCCGATTTAACGGTACTTCTTGCGCTAACGTATGCGTCAGAAACCTGGCCGCAGCGTAAACAGGATGAAAAATCACTCAGCGTTATCGAACGCGCAGTCGATAGGACGATGCTAGGAGTATCCCGTTCCACACAAGGAAGGGATGGGATCAGAAGCTCCGACCTGCGTCAATGATCAAAAATCAAAGATGTCGTTCTTTACGACAAATAATCGAAGATGAGGTGGACCAGACAAATAATGTGTATGAACGACAACCGATGGATTAGAGCAGTTAGGGACTGCATTCCTCGGGATGTCAAACGCACTGCAGGAAGACCACCTACCCGCTGGTCAGAGTTTTTCACGAAGACGCTAGAAAGAAGATATGATCCTCAACGAGAAGCTAGAACGAGCAGAACAAATTGGGATACCGTTACACGCAATAGAGAAAAGTGGAAGACTTACTGGCGTCCGCTTGAGTAAATAACTGTGCTGGGAAATTTCATGAACACAGTTTTTCGCTGATAAGACTAAACAAATCCATCATATCGAATTTTAAAAAAAACCGAATTTGCTGCCTTACTCGACAAGTATAAACAGTTGACTTCGTTACAGTATTTTCTACAGGAATGTACGTTCATTTAGACACTGAACCGCACTTCTTTTTTAAGTTTTTGGCGAAACTCATGAGTTTATTTATTGCGTCAAATTAGAAGTTCTACTACAACCCAGCTCCACAGCTCAAAATGTTACCTCAATCCAACTGGCGTTTATATTTTATATTAATGGCCACCTCCTCCCTAATGGAAACGTGATAAGAAAAAAGAATAATTCTCCTCTATACTTGAAACAAATAGCTCTCGATATTAAGTTATTTATTCAAAAAACACGACTTCTGTAAAAGGTATGCCAGGTAATCAAAGGTAAAGATGGTGTGTCAAGACAAATGCTATCTTTTGCATGATGGAAATTCGTCGCAAACGAGAAATACGTCGTAAAATCTGATTCCAGTGCTAACCCATTTGACTTCTATGATAGCCAGGCTATGTGAAAACAGTCTTTCTCTATATTAAAAAGACTAATTTAAAAAACACCTACCATTTGAAATTGTTCTGGTTTGAAAAGCCAACGAAAAAATAATTTAAGCGAAGTATCGTAACCAGAAAGCTCAGTTTTACGCAAAAAACCCTACCGTATAAGGCACACTTCAACAAACCTACTTTGCTCTCATTATTGAATTGCATGTCACGAAATCGTTCCACTGCCACATAAAAGTTCAAGTTTTCTGCACAAAATTGTTGTTCGAGGAATGCTTGAAATGGCTGTCGCAACTTTGGATCGCGTAAAACCCGCTTGAAGATCTGAAATTTCTTCATCTGTAGGGTAAAAAATGAGGAAAGAAAAACCATAGCTGCAACTTGCCTTCACATCCCGGCTGGCATTAGTTTCAGGAAGGATAAGGCCGTCAGTAAGCTAAAACAAATGTATTTGCATGTATCAAAACATTCAGACTTCTAAAACACTGCATTATTAGTGCAAATAGGGGATGTATATAGTACATGACGAGTTTCATCTTGATTCTACACTGTTCTTGCTCGTCCCTTAACACATCTAAGAGTTACGCGGGTAAAAATATGAACTACGATGTGCTTCATATACTTTTTCAATCTAATCATATAAAACCATGAGTAGTGTAATGAATTCATGAAAATGGAAACGACTTGTGCAAATATGATCGCTAGCATTGTTCAGTGCCCGGGATTAAACAAACGCCTTTGTTCTAGACTGCAGATTAGCAGCAAACTTCCGAAAAACAATTCACTGATAAGCTTGCGAAATTGTTTAGCAGGACATCTCACACTATATTTTATAAAAGTAGAAGTGATAACTAGCGCTTTCACGACTATGCGCACTGATTTCAATATGTACTCTGCTGAACCCATCGGACCGTACATTTTGACTTCAATGCGCCCGCTTTTTCTATCCTATTTTGCTGCACAGAGTTTTTTTTTACTATACTTTTGCTATCGATCGATAGATTGTTGAACACAGATTTTATAACGCGGCAGGTCCATGGAAATGTGGCCAATATTCCCTATACATGCAAAAATTCCCATTTCAGACGGTGGATTGGAATCGATGAATATAAAAAAAAGACAGAAGTACACTTAAACCTATCAAAAAAGCTAGTAACACCGTGATTAGGCAGCGGACGAATTCTTTTCATCACATATAAGGAGTGCACGGGAACATTAATAAAAGAATATAATGGACACGTAGAAGTTAGAGATATACGGAAAATATATGAGCGAGCCGAGTAATAGAACGATAACCTGAAAAAACCAGTGCAGTGCCCTTTGAAAGGATTCTCGGACCGTAAATCTTGATTTAAATGAGTACTTCGATTGCGTTCTAATGATACGCGGTCCGAGGAGCCTGACACCCGAAAATAGCCGCGATAGTGAAAGATTTAAAAAAAACACTTAAAGTTGTGAAATCTCATTAACACGGTCGATGCCCTATTTGGCGAAATGCCGGAAAAAGGCATTATGTTTCAGAATCAACTCAAGAGTGTGCAAAAACACTGAAGAAGTTAAGAATCATAAGGAACTAAGGCATAACGCTGCAACAAAACCATATTCACGAAATCACATGAATGTACATGCTAGATGTAATTTTTGAAAAAAAAATACTTTATTCATCTCGTCATCTTCACTCATGAGATCACATAACAACCCGCCATTTCCCACCGATAAATTAATAACATTTGTTGTAAGCATTACATTTTCTCCATCTACATTGGTACTGGCTTCATCTTTTCTATACTTACACTAATTCAGTTAACAAGGAATTTGAATTAAACTAACCGCTCCGAAATCCGGAACATAATCGCCGCCGGATGTTCGCAGTGTGGCGGTGGCGTCGGTGGTCGACGCCAGCTGGTCGCCGCCACCGTCTGATGCCGTCAACGACGTCGACAGTGTCCTCTTCTCGTCGCGAACACGGCTATTGTTTCTGCTCTTTTGAGAACAAAACCGTGCCGAGCCACTACTGCCAACCGCTCCAGCCAATTCCTCGTCCACCGCACCGTTGGTGACTTAAAGCAAAACTACTGAAATCGTTATAAGCATCCGAAAATAATGAAGTAGAAGGTCTAAAGAGGCAAAACGCACGAATGACACGAATTGCAATAGTTTTTTGTGCTTAGCAAACTTTGTAGAACTTTGCAGTGATATCCAGCGCGTTCAACTAATCAAGAAGTGATTCACTTTCAATCATTAATTCTGACACTGAGGAATTCTTTTTCTACGACAGAATAAAACAAAGAGTAATCTGAAAACGTGAAGAATTTCTATTAATAAACAATAAATGTAGAACGACTCGCATAATGAATAAAGTTGGAGACTAATTTCAAGCACTTCGTTATTTGAGCTACATAAACTACAGCATTCATAACGCAAATACATCATGCGAAATTGGACGCTTGAGTGTATTTCTCAATTCAGCACTTCAACAGTTTTCTTCAGGGTTACAAATATATCTGCATTTCATTACTCTTTCTGGGGTATATTTTGCTCAATAAATAGTAGATAAGGAGTGTGGGAACTACGTAAATCCCATTATCATAGAAAGCGCTAATAATTATGTATTAGAGGAGCAGACAAATAATTTACGTCATTACCGTCCTAGCGCTTAAATTTTAACGTTGAAAAGTAGTTATCCTAGTCAGAAGCTCATCACACTGCACTTAAGAATAATTAATAACAAAATGAGGCAGCGGTAGCTCAATGATAATGATCCTGTTCAACACGTTCAAGAAACTGGTTCGATCCCATCCACGGCCCAACCGTTTTATTTATTTCTCGCAGGTCGGGAAACTGGTACAAGATTTGTCTAGGATGAATATGCTCCATGTAATCTATGAAGACTGACAGTCTCCTATAATGAAGATATGGGAACATGCCCGTATTGCTGGCTCATGATTCCAGGAAGAATGGACCTCACCAGCAACCAACGACAGTTACACAGAAGATCAAGACTCCTCTAGCAGCAGCCGAACTCATACGCAAATTCGAACACCGTTGTGGAATATGGGTATTAGGAAAGGAATCAAATATAAGAAATGCAAAGTAGATGTCAAGAAGCGTCGTACAAAGAACCACGGAGAAAAAAAGAGGCAATTTTGTGGAAATGAAATGAATAATTAATTTATGTGAAAAGCAACAGTATTATTACAAATACTACAAGTGTACACGTTTCTGCTTCTGAATTCTCTCTACTTCCACGTTCAACAGGAACATGAACATGGTTTGTAACAAACGAATAATTCTAACCAATGACACTATTGTCCGTTTGCACAAGGGTTTGCACATAGTTGTTCGTGAAAGTCTACGATACCCTCTCGTTAAAAACAAATTCTCATTGAAATTATTATTTAGTAATGCAATCTCAGTATAACAAATAGATTGGATATTTGAGGTCCAATTCAATCAATAAATGACCTCCTTCATGATAAAGACTAAGATGAAATTGCGAAACTATCGACGACAACGAGCATGGGTTAAGTATGCGCTGAGAAGTATTTCATCGCCGAATTTGTAGCAATCGGACATCGATCATGAATGAATCAATTTCTTGTACAAAGTCAACTTGTCATTAAAGTAGATCCATTAATGAACAATCTAACAGAGAACTTTACATAGAATCTTTTTTGAATGCGAACAAACCGTACAAAGGAATTTGCAATACTGTTATATTTCCTCTTTAACCAACCAAAATTAGGTATTTTAATCGCAAGGGAAAGATAGTGTGCAAATAAGTTGAATCAAAACACTTTAAAATGACTGACCACTGGCGGAAAAGCAACGCTTACCGTTGGATAGCCGGAGCGGGAGGCTAAGCTGGGGTCGGATGACGTACTGAGAAGCCTGTCGAAGCGTTGTAGTGCGACAGTGCTGCTGCTGATGCTGCCGGTTGCCGCTGCCGACGCCAACGACCTCTGAACGTCCTTCCGACGATACCCACGCTGAAGCGTTGCGTGTTGTACTGCAGCACACAAACTGTTTGCTACTGTTACTGCTGCTGCTCTTGCTTCGGTTGCTACTGCAGCAATACTCAAATGCCGTCAACTTTGAATCGGCGGCGCCACGACGATCGCACTGATTCAACTCGTATACTTTCGTTGCCCTCTGAAAAATTCGCACTCAGTTAACATATAACGAAGTAATCGAAGCTATCTCATTTGTCTATTTCGTTCCTGTAAAGAAATTTAACAGCAACATGTATTGACAAAAGAAGTGCCAGAAGAAGAAATGAATGAAGTGATGCGTACTGAAGAAAACGATGAACTATTCTGGTTTCTGTTTGCCATAAGAACTATGAAGAGCTTTATCGAAATCTCAGAAAAGAACAGGAGGACATTAAAGAGTACCAAGTGGAATCTTCATAGTTATATGCAGTTCCTTCATAGTATTATATTCATTGGGCAGAACTGAGAAGGAAAAAACAATTAGAATTTTTAGAATCCCGCTGACGGGTGATTGCTGTGGCAAAGATCGATAGAAATAGCTGAGAGACAGGTGAAACAAAGGACCCGCATGGTGTGGTGGTGAACGCGTTACTCCCCGGAAAGGACAATAGCGCGTTCGTTCCCCACCATAGACACCTGCGGTCCAGAGTTTTGCAAATATCTCAGCTACGTTGTAGTTGTATTTCGCTTAGTACCCTACGGCGAAATTATAGCAGGCAGAAAATAAAAAGGTATAACAATTAGAATTTTCTTCACCGAGCAACATTTAAGTGCTCCGCTATGAGACCCAATAGGTGGAAAATGTTTGGAGCTAACAATAAACGACAATCTATTTCTATGACAATATAAATCCTGCTGATACATTTCCAAAACAAAGATCAATTAATAAAACCGTGAAACAACAAGAAGAGATGTGTTTAAGAAAATAAAACAGAACTGGAATAGGATCGAACCACCGACTGTGGCCGCGGAAATTACCGCACACCCGAGGTTTCTATATCTACGCTACCCCAAAATTAAAATGAAAAACGTCGGTAGTGTTGGAAGCAAGGCAAAAAAATTTAAAAAAAGGATGATTCGATTAATTTTTTTATCACCTCTTGACGGGCAGAGATTTACGAAATCTACCACACTAAAACAAAACAAAAAAGGCAAAAAACAAACATCGACATAAAAATTGCTGTACCCACAAGGTTTACCCTCTGAAAAAGAAAATACTTCTAAAAAACTCGCAAGCAGTAAACTTCACCGGGAGGATTTTTATGAATTTTCAACGTCTGTGGTAGCTCAATCACCAGAGGATGAAATGGAAGTTACTAAGTGAATGCTATAGTGAATAATTGCAGACAAGAAAGATTTTGCGGCCAAGATCTGTACATGAAACCCACTCATCATTAAAGTTACCCGATCTTCCAAAATTAAATTGCCCATCGATGTCAAGAATACGCTGAAGTGCGATGAAAGCGTCACGCCTTATTGATTGCTAACATTGATTGGGGATAGCTATGGATATTAATTTTTACTTTTGACACGAAATTACACACTAGATGACATACAATTCAATCTCTTCAAGCTACAACGAGAAGATGAGAGGCTATGAAATAGTGCATCGATAAGCTTTTCATTATCTCAACACAACCCTCTGAGATAGCCAGCAAAGGAACTCTCAATAGAAATAAAGTTCCGCCGTTAAATTTTAGGACACATCCCGCCAGTATATAATATGCTAAAAACAGTGGCTAGGACGATGATGTGTTTCAGTTTTGATAAGTCAGGAAACTCGTTCTTCAACGACGCACCTACGTCAGTATTAAGGAAGTTAATACACCCCAACATTAAAAAGCGCATTCCTCTCGGAATATCATGCAAGGTAACACGCATCATGAACCTTATGGTATTTGGGTCTGATATTTT